ATGTGGCTCCTGAGGGGGCTTGGGATGACCCAATTACCGGCGGGCACGCCCTTGGCCTGGCCACAAGGATGGCTGAATGCGGCGGTGGGTGACTACATAAAAGTGTACAATTTGAGTCAGAGAGGGGGACCGTGGAACTCCAAGGAGGTATTGGCCAAAGTAAACGAAGGGGAGGCCTGCGAGGGGGTGATGGGCGCGAAGAGGACTATGTACCGTCAAGTGTGGAGGAACACTTCATCAACGGCGCTCACAAAAGAACAGAGAGATCTGTCCTGGTTGGCGGTGTGGGATAGATTGGAGACGAGGGGCTTCATGTTTTCTCGCCGAATGGCACGTTCGCCCAAATGCCCGAGGGGCTGCAACACAGATGAGGACGCGGTGCACGTCATGGTGAAGTGTCCCTTCGCACAGGAGGTGTGGAGACTGAGCAGTCCGCTGTTGTCCTGGTTTTACCCGTCGCAGGTGATAAGTCGGGACATTATGTGGGGAGTCTTAAGGGAGGTGCGGGGAGATGACAGAGATCGAACGTGGGCCATAATAGGCGCGACAAAGGAGGCCTTGTGGGGAGCTCGCAGAAAAGAGTTGGATGGGTCCCCTATATCACCGTTGGAGGTGTGCTACTGGGCAAGGAGGTTGCTAGAAAGGGTGATGGAAGTAGACCGGGTTAGGCTGGGATACAAGGCCGCAGGTGTGAAGTGGAAGTGGCCCCTATCCGGGGTGGGGTAGCAAGGGGACCGGCGGGTATAGGGAAGGGATAGTGAAGGATGGCCATGCACATTTTAGCCGGCCTGCTAAGTCGTGTGGGCGAGGAATGTACGTGTTCGATCGGGGGAAGGCGATGTGATGGAGCAGCGCATGGGTGAATGGTGGTGATGAATGTAAATAAGGGGAACGGGGCGGTGTGCGTTATGGCGGCGAGCTTTTTTGTTGCATTGTATGTGGGTGGAGCCCGCGGATGTGACGGAGACTCGAAGGGGCCAACCGGGGCGCCTGGGAAGGAGTGGTTTTCAGTACTCTCTTTGGTTTTCCTTGTACCCGCTGAGAAGTTAATAAAAACCTTTAAATCGCAATTACCAGCGAAACGTCGTACTCAAATTGTAAATGTTGTGGTTTCACGCTTCAACACACCGGTGGGCTAAAGCAGTGAACTATTTGTCTTTTGTCAACGTGACACTTTTTTACTGATTGGCCATGTCGGGTGGTGGAGGGTTATGACACATTTATAAATAACGCGATCTAAACCCAAAAACGTTGATTATGAATAATATTGGTCGCGAAAGCCTACGTGTTAAACAAAGGGGCAATGTTAAACATGTAACTCAACACGACTCACATCTCATAACCTTTATCAACTGGTTATATTAATTCCAGAGTGGAAGGCAACCAAACGTTTATGAGGCCTTCTAAAATCAAATCTTTATAACCATGTATGGCCCAGTTGTCGATCTAGTTATTTATTTTTCAATGTGGACATGACTAATCGCACTTATCAGGATAATTGTGGAGTTTAAGTTTTAGATTTCATGACAGGATATTTTTCCGAAGTTTTCCCTCTTCTTTTTTAAAATCAGAAAACGAATACTTACCACCCGACATTTAATTACATGTATGCGAAAGGGATATGTACGTGGACTATTGCGATATCAATACTTGGACTTGGGTAAATGTTGAGGAAAATGAGTGTCGTATTTTCTAAGCAGTGCTACGAATTCATGATGGATAATTAAATACATTCCCAGCACTGCCACCTCCACTGTACAAGACTGTAATGATTACACGTCAATTTGGGACGCGCCGCACAGCATTCGCTCACTCTTGAAGTGAGAAAGATGACTGTGGTGATAAGCCGGCGCAAGCTACACCATCATCTGCATCGTCACTCAGGCTGAGTGGAGTGGTCCTGTGGTGCCACGGCCGCGGAGCAACTCCGTAAGTGCCGCGACTCCCCCCTGGCTCCTACACTGAGCACACACACGCAACGCACACAAGGGCCCCTAGATGGAAAGTCCCATGGTTTCTCGGTGCCGCCAAGACCCACTCCCTGCCGTCCTGCCTCCTCGAGCCACTCGCAGCATCCGTGTGATGCCAGCGAGCAGAGGCGTAGCTAGGGGGGGCAGGGGGGTACATATGTCCCCGGGCGCCAAGGTAAAGGGGCGCCAAAATGAGGCTTACAACGTTACATTATAACTTATTGTGGCGGGCGCGGCAGCCTGAAACTATTGCACAAATCTACACCTCAACCTAAAAGTTTATATATCCTGCCACACACAGCTTACATGTCATGTAATTACATTTTGGTACGCGCGCCTATTAAGAACTTAAATGGAAGAACGTCCCAAACAACAGACAGGTGCAGTCTTTCAGCCTTAGTCACTGGCCTGTTTTTTGGTGGCGGAAACTACGACGGCCTGAAACACGCTGGAGTGCACGATCAGAAGCTGTTAAAGCTATCTATGAAGGACTGGATCAACTAGTAGGGCTGCTAGACAAATTATCAGCGGACTTAACTATGACGCCTGAAACCAGAAGTGATGCAGAACAGTTACAGGCATGCGTATTAAATTTTAACTTCATAGTTTTATTACATTTTCTGGAATGTCATTCTTTGAAAAATTGATCGTGTTCAGAAGCGCTTACAGGATCCTACTATGAATTTAAAGGAAGCAGCAACTGATCTTGAATCTTTGGAGCATGAATTTGTCAAGCTTCGTGATAATTTGAGCCAAGTTGCTGTAGAAAACGCCAAAACAAGATGCACAGCCTGGGGGATCGATGTGGACATAAGAATTAGGCGACGTCGGAAGATGCCAGGAGAACTGGCAAGAGATGCAGAACTTTCAGCAGAAGAAGAAATTGTGCGCGTTATGAAGAACGTATTTTATCGAGTTCAACAGGAGATGTCAACACGGTTTTTACGATTAAAAGACCTGAACACAAAATTTTGATTTCTGCTGGACGTCAACACTCTTCTATCCGACACAGATGTCGATGCAATTCGTCGAAATTGCACAGATTTTGGAAATTTTTATGACACTGACATCAATGGCCACGAACTTTTCACAGAAATTGTAGATTGCAAAATGCTGCTCAGTAACCGGAATGAAGTTCTACCAGAAACTCCTTTGGATCTTCTTGGTTTTATTGTGTTTTATGGAGACGACATATTTCCGAATTTCACTGCAAATTGTATTAACAATAGCAGTTTCAATTGCAAGCTGTCAGCGGTCGTTCAGCAAATTGAAACTTATTTTGTCTTATTTCCGTGCTTCAATGGGACAAGATCGTCTCAGCGATCTTGCTCTTCTTAGCGTTGAAAGAGAAACATTGGAAAAAACAGATTTTGATTCCGTGATTTACCAGTTTGCGACAGTGAAATCAAGAAAAATGTATCTTTTGTAGACTATGTCAACCAGTCTACGACAGTGACTGAGTGAGCCATGTAATATAATTTCTATAATTTTGCTTCTTTAAATACAATGTTTCATTAAATTTTAAATTGTTATTCCTTATTCGATGTAATAGGAAAATGTGATTAAACGGGGGGGGGGGGGGGGGGCACCAATTTTATAGTTTGTCCCCGGGCACAAAATATCCTAGCTACGCCTCTGCCAGCGAGTGCTGCTATGAGGCAGGGATAGGTCAAGTTTTCTCTCGTCCTTCTCCCTCCGACTCTCACCATGTCCGTGCGATGCCGTGAGTACAGCTTCGAGGTACGTGGAAGGACGTTTGAGTGACTGGGCACTTAGGCAGCAGTAGGCTAGGCTCTTCTCGCAAAATATTCCCCCAGGTAATGTGTATTTGCGCCGCAAATAAAAGTTAGCACAGAGCATCGGAGTGGTGTCAGTGATTTGTGTGTGGAATAACTGCGTGTGGAGCGACGCGTTGCGAGAGGAGTGAACGCGGAGCCGCAGCGTGTGCGCGCGTCTTAGGATATAATCGCCCATAGGTGCGCATGCTTTCGCGCTTCCGCGTTAGCATTAGCTGTGGTGTGTGCGCGTGTTAGAAGGAGGGAGCGGAAGGGATAGACGTTGCGCCCCACCTGCCCAGCGAGGGCGGTGGGATGGACGTCGGCCTCCACAGTCCCGGGACGACGCCAGGTGACCCTATCCTGAGCACGCCACCACGCCGAGCACAGTCCAAAACCGTGATGCTTGAGTTTCCCTAACCCTGACCCCTACCCCATATCCTCACTCCTACCCCGTATCCTGACCCATCACCCCACCCCGTATCCTGACCCCTAACCCTACCCCGTATCCTGACCCATCACCCCACCCCGTATCCTGACTCCTCGCCCTACCCCATTGCCTGACCCCTCACCCTACCCCGTATCCTGACCCCTAACCCTACCCCGTATCCTGACCCCTAACCCTACCCCGTATCCTGACCCATCACCCCACCCCGTATCCTGACTCCTCGCCCTACCCCATATCCTGACCTCTAACCCTACCCCGTATCCTGACCCATCACTCCACCCCATATCCTGACCCCGAGCCCTACCCGATATCCTAACCCTACCCCATATCCTGACCCCTAGCCCTACCCCATATCCTGACCCCTAGCCCTACTCCGTATCCTAACCCATCACCCCACCCCCATATCCTGACCCCTAGCCCTACCCCGTATCCTGACCCATCACCCCACCCCATATCCGGACGCTAGCCCTACCCCGTATCCTAACCTTAGCCCTATCCGTATCCTGACTCCTAGCCCTACCCCGTATCCTGACCCCTCACCCTACCCTGTATCGTGACCCATCACCCCACCCCCATATCGTGACCCCTAGCCCTACCCTGTATCGTGACCCCTAACCCTATCCCGTATCCTGACCCCTAACCCTATCCCGTATCCTGACCCCTAACCCTACCCCGTATCCTGACCCCTAATTCTACCCCGTATCTAACCCCTAACCCTACCCCCTACCTCGTATCCTGACCCCTAACCCTACCCCGTATCCTGACCCTTAACCCCGACCCACGCAAGGGGACGCAGCGTGGCTGTTGGTGACTGGATCACATGACGCGTGACGTCACCGCTATTCTCCACACCTCCTCGCAGCCGCGGTCATGGCCGCCTCCTCTGCGGCGTCGTCGCCCTCCTCGGCCCCCCGCGCCCTGGGGTCCCTGCGCGCCCTTTGCGGCCTCCACGTGCTGGACGATGTGCGCAGGATGAACAAGCGGCAGGTGGGGTACACGGGGCAACACGGTGCGCGGAGAGCGCGAGGCGGCCCGGGCCTGGCGCCCAGGCCCTGGTGCCCGGAGCCTCGCTCTGTCCTGCGAGGCGCCGGGGCCCCTCCTCACAGCGTCCCTCGCTCCCTCACCCTGTAGCGCTCTTACTTCAGCTACCCCTCGCAGTTGCCCTCTGAGCTTCCCGTGTAGATCTCTCTCAGCTCCCCTTAGTCGATCTCTGCTCTCAGCTCCCCGTCACAATCGCCTCCTCCACCCAGCTCCCCTCTTTCATCTGTTTAACCTCCCTCTCAGCGCCCTTCCCTCAACTTACCCTCTCAGCTTCCCTCGATCAGTTCCCCTCCCGTGTTGCTGCTCGTCGTATCCCTCGTGCTGCTGCGGTGCGTGTTGACTTCGTGGTCTGTAGGGCCCCCTCTGCGGTGGCGGCTGCTGTGTCCATATGGTTTCCGGCCCCGTAGCAACGTGTGTCGGGAATGTTATGAATAAAACAGACCGCGACGTCTTGTTATTATTTTAGTTTTATTGCTTTTTGCAAAACTGTATCTCATTGGCTAGGTCTAAAGAAAACCCTTGTAACAAAACAAACTTTAAACTGTAACACTTTATTTTACCAGGTCAGGCCCACCAGCTATATAGCTCTTTTTCAGGAGCGACCTGGCCATCACGAATGATAACGAAGTGGCTGATGGAAAATGTATAGCACCCAAATACTCTAAACGCATTTGATTCTAAATGTGGAGGAAAAAAACGGAGGACTCGTAGAAAAATCCACGCGACCACGGGGAGAACATGCAAACTCCAGATATACAGGCATCAGGGTCGGGATCGAACCCACTAACTCCTGTATACCAGGCGAGGTCATTAACATCTCGCCACATTTTCCTCAACTCCGACCGAGCATTCAATCCACGTGGATCGGTAAAATGTGTCCCGCATTTTAAACTGCTATAGTTCCGTGTCAACTGGAGCTTCCCACGTGAAGATTCAGATAGCGTTGATAGTTTTGCGTAGTAGTGAATGCAGATGCGCTCTGACACTTGGCCGGATATTTCGGTCATTAATGATTATTTACCATCAATAAAAAAAAAATACACCAACTTGCAACGCGCGCAATCTCAAAAGTTGTGATGTGACTCGGAGGCGCGGGGCCCAGCTCGCTCAAAGGCAGAACAGCTGGGCTCTGGTGCCTATTTAAGGGGAGAAATAACTCCATGCTGCATTTATTGAAGGGGGATTGAAATCCAGATTAGATAGATCCCGTTTCAAGTTAACATTATTTTGTTTGACCAGGTGAGAACTCGAGAAACCAGGATAGTATCCTTTTTAAGATTGACAAGTCTCCAAAATAACAAAATAAAAAGATTTTTATTAACTAGCCCAGCGGTTTTCAAACTGTGGTGCGTGCGTACCCCTGGGGTACGCGAACACTCGTCAGGGGATATGCGAGAAAAATTGTATAATGGCAGACAATTATATTTGTATTGTTTAAACACAAAGACTATTTTTTTTAGCTCATTCTTTATTCATTAGTTTAAAAGTCGCAACGTTGGCGTGATGTTATATTCCACGCTTGGTATGCAGGAGCTTCGTGGGTTCGATCCCGATCCAGATGCCTGTTGTATATTTGGAGTTTGCATGTTTCTTTCCCAGTGGTCGCGTGGATTTTTCTCCGGGTTTTTCCCCCACATTTATAATAAACATGCGTTTAGAGTATTTGGCAGCTATAAAGCTCCACGTGATAAGCCACTAAGTTGAACTATCCTTTGTGTCCAGATCGCTTTTGAAAATCAGCTAATAGCTCAGTCGGCCTTACCTTGTAAAATAAAACGATTTTTTAATGTTATTTGTTTACCTTTCCTATACACTCCTATAGTTTATTTGTATTGTTGTCACTTTCTGACCTGGATATCTGTGAGAAAGAGCTTCATAGCTCGTCGAATTTCTGGAGGATATATTAAGATTACGATCTCAGAAGGGTGTATGCGGTAGGCAATATTATTTTGAAATGGGTACACAGATTGAAAGGTTTGAAAACCACTGAACTAGAGCAATGAAGCAAATAGCAATCGGTGCAAGAACAACCTACAAATGGTATTCAGAATGTCCATAGCCCTGTGAATACTTGCGTTCAACTAGGCAGGAAGGTCTTTTGTAGAATTCTTGCACTCAAATGTCCGTTCTTTGACAAGAGAAAGTTCGATGAGGTCGCCTAAGCTTGCGACGTGACGTTTCTCACACTGTGCGTGTTGACTGCGTGTGCAGCTTTACTACCAAGTACTCAACTTCGGCATGATCGTGTCGTCGGCGCTGATGATCTGGAAAGGCCTCATGGTGGTGACGAACAGCGAGAGTCCCATCGTCGTGGTGCTGAGGTACTGTCACATCATCGGCACCCGCCTCCATGTCGGCGTAGGATTGTGTTCTCGCATTATAGTGTGGACATACCGTATTTTCCCACATATAGCCCGCAGACGCATATAACCCGCAGACGCATATACCCCACAAAAATAGCGTTTTGTGTAAAAAATAATAATCAGATAGTCCGCACCTCCATATACCCCGCATGCATTCATATCTTTAACGTCGTTACCGCAGCTTAATTCCATCATATTAATACGAAGTTTACATTTGTAATACATTCCACTATTAATTGTTAACGTTAACATCATAACGTGCACAAAGAAAACAAACTAACCGGAAACGAGTGAACTTAAAACAGTAAATAAGTAACAAAAGTAAATATCCAATAAATAAGTAACACATAATAACTGGTAGATAAGCAAGTACAGTTTTAGCACTGGTAGATTACGCACTGCGCAGACAATAGCAGAATTAACTCCGTTGCCTCGCCCCCACCCCCCCACTTGTCTCTCCCCCCAGCTGCCCCACCCCCCCAACCCCCCACCTCAACCACCCACCTCTCCTCAGAGGTCGCAATCGGGTACCTGATACCCGTACCCTACCCGATACCCGGCTACCCGTACCCGGCCGGGTACGGGTCGCCGTTTGCGACCCTGGTGCGGCCGGGTACGGGTAAGGAATCAAAACCCGTTTGCGACCTCTGCCTCTCCCTCATCCCAGCTCTCCCGTTGCCGTCGCAGATCTTGCTCTGCCCCACCCCCACCTCCCTCTCCCCCAGCTGCCCCACCCCCCAACCCTTCACCTCTCCCTCCCCCCAGTTCTTCCGTCGCCGGTAAACAGTGCGTGCACTTCAAACATTGTCGTTTAATTGTACAAACAATTCATTTAAAACGTGATAACATGTGCAATTTAGTGTGAATGGTTTATTCAGCAGTGCTTTAGTCAAAGGTAAGTGTTGCATAGTGGATAGTCCTTCCATGAAAAAATGTAACGAGTTATGACATGTCACACGTGTAAAATATTTTTGGGATAGCCCGCACCTCCATATACCCCGCAGGGTCTTGTTTGTAAAAAGTGGTATAACCCGTGGGATATATGCGGGAAAATACGGTACTCGTCGTGTGTAAGAGTCAACTTAAGATGTGCATTCTCGTAGCCAACACAAAGATCCATTGAAAAACACTATACCATAAGGGCCCACTGCATATCTGACCAACACCACCTGGCCAGTGAATTAGAACATGTACCCCTGGCCCTTAAGATGAATGGATACTCGGACCGTACTATCCGCCAAGCTGTTTCTCCTACCGTGGAGAAACAACCCCTTGTGACTCCGATCAAATCATTACGTTGCCATACATAGCAGGTGTTACCAAAAATATTTCCAAAATTCGAAACAAACACAAGATCCAGGTCCGATTCAGTACAGTACACAAAATCCGTGGTCTGATCCCATCCGTAAAGGATGTCATTCCTGACTTACAGTATCCTAGTGTCTACAAATTGAGTTGCACCTGTGGTGATTGTTATATTGGAGAAACGAAACGACATATTTCTAAACCGCATTCGTGAGCACGAGTCAGATTTGAAACACGGTAGGACAAATTCTTCGGCCGTAGCTGATCACTGTTACAACACTGCGGGTTCTCATGATATTGTGTTCTCCGATACCAAAGTACTCTGCAAGCCTCCTGGTTACTACCAAAGATTTGTCCATGAAGCCATCCAGATATTCAAACAGAGACATAACTTCAACCGAGAGGATGGATTCAAATTGAGCAATCATTGGAAGGATGTCATTAACCAAGTTAAACTTTAGCTGCCTTGCAGTTTACTGCTTTGCAGTTTACTGCTTTGCAGTTTACTGCCTTGCAGTTTATATTCATATCAATATTCCCAGTCTTTTACGTCCAGCTTTACACACTACCATCACTAAGAAATTTGACTCAAAGCCCTGCTTACTCTCATCACTTGGAAATTTGCCGCTCGTTGTTTCGAGTGTGCAAGCTTAGCTCTCTAGCAACTCTAATTTACTCCCCTGCAGAATAACAAAGGATGTCATTAATCGGCTTAACTTAGCTTTCTTATCAACCAGCTCAACTTCTGCCCCCTGCATCATAGAGCTTTAATTTGAACTCCATGCGCACCTCCCAGCCCACACCCCGCCCCCACACTCACCCTCCCTACGATCCGCACCCCAATGTTCTGCCCGCCCAGGCTACCTCACTTCTCTTACACTTACCCTTATCTCAACTATGAATGAATCTGCTAATCCCCCGCCCCCCACTCGACTCCTTGGCTCCTCCCCCCCCTTACCCTATATAATCACGGTTCTCTAAACAGCTCTCTTTATTCACTACAGCAATTTTGCTGTGGCGGTTCCACCTGGAGACGGAGGCTTGTGTTGCTTCCGAAACGTCGTGATTTAATTTAGTTGTTTTCATTTTAATTTATTTTATTTTTTACCTACGTAACTTTACCGAAAAAACCCAAAAAGTATGGATCCTTGCAGTCACGAAAACTTCTAATCTAGAATCCATTGTAGTGTTTGGATTAGGCAATATGGTATTTTTATGCCAATTTCTCGCCATTAACTCTACCTGACATGATCGTCAAGTTTCCAAAGGTATATATGTCAATGTATTCCTCAAATTCTGACCAATAAATTAAGTTGTGAAAAATCTTAAGCCACTGGTGAGGAGTAGCGTTATTTATCAGAACTAGATTAATACATTGGCAGGTATAAATAATATCTTTGTACATGTTACAATCTTGTTGGGTAGTGGAGGGGTTGATAACATGGATTTTTGAAAAAAATCTACTCTCACGTGGCCTAACACAAACATGTATCGTGTTTTATAGTTTGTTATGACATTGAGCACGCGTGCGTGCGTGTGTGTGTATGCAGTGGGGAGCAGTAGTGTGGCGTTTAGTGCGCTGCGCTACCAACCCGGCGATCCGAGTTCAATTGCTGCTCACGGCCAACTTTGGTGACGAATATCTGAACTAGTCCTGGACCTTCTCTAGGTCGACTCAGCCTCAAATGAGTACCTGGTGTGGTGTGTAAACATTGCTGCTGGGGAGACGAAGGTGGCCAGGCGTGTTGCTGGCCACCCACTCCCTGTGTGTGCCGTTTCGACCTTCATAGGTGCTCACTATAACAGCACTTGCCCCAACACTCTATTAAGGCTATACTGGGGATCTTTGTCTTTGCAGTGGCAGCATGGAGCCGGCGTTTCACCGCGGAGACCTGCTCTTTCTCACAAACCACCAAGAGACGCCAATTCGCGTAGGGGAGATCGTGGTGTTCAAGGTGGAGGGACGAGAAATCCCCATCGTCCACCGCGTCATCAAAATCCACGAAAAGTACACACGCCATGCACGGAAAGAATGCTCACAACTCGGGTGGCTACTATCGGTTTCTTTGCGTTACTGGTAACCGCATGGGAAAAAATAACGGGAAAGGCCTGGTTCGCAATTTGCGGCACAGAAATAACTCTCTAGAACAGCGTTTCCCCAACCTGTTGTCCACGGATCCCTGGTGGTGCCCGAGGCTACTACAGCGGGTCCACGGAGGAAACAAAAAATAATACGATCTTCATCAAGGAAATGTAGAATTCCAATGGATTTTTTTTCATGTTTTTAAAACCGACTTCTGTAATTTATTTTACAAGTATGCTTAAGTGGTATTTTTTTTTGTCTGTGGTGCCAGTGTGTGACGTAAACACATGAACGCACGCGCAAGACAACCTAACATCTTTAATGTGACAACTCTTTAAAGCTGGTCTTCACACAAGTACCCAACAGGCTTCTGTCTATGCTTTGGTTCTGAGTACCCAGAACTCTCCGACAAGGCAGCGAAGTGCCTGATGTCTTTTGCCACAACATGTTTGTGGAAGTGAATTTGCCATGCTTGTTGCATTAAAATCAAAGTGTCGAAGTAGGCTGGATGTGGAATCACATTTAAGGCTAAAACTGTCATATCTCCAACCTGACATCCTGTCAGTGGAACAACACCATCCATCTCATTTAGTAAGTTACTCAATATAAATACGTTTTTGAACTGAAGTGCATATTATTTATTTGTTGTTACGTTAGATTTCCATATATAACGGAGTGTAAAACAACTAGTAGCGTGTGGTGGGCACGAAATGTTTGGAGGTTGAAAAGGAGTCTGTCACTCAAAGGTTGGGAGCTGCTGCTCTCGAGCAATCAAAATAACGTGTTAAGATTTTAACTGAGAGTTGAAGGGAGCTGCCACATTGATGTAATGGTTAGTAGACTGGGCTTGCAATCCAGAGGTCACCAGTTAAATTCCATCTCCCGGCGCAGCAGTTTGTGCATTAACATTCCACTGGAATCTGTTACCGATTCTTGACTTTTAGAACCGGTAACGGAATCCAAAAATGGTCACCAGTTTACCAGTTATCAGTTACCTCTACGCACAGTGGAATGGTCGTCATTTACTTGAGTTTGGACCTTTGTGAATATCGTAAGATGTCTGAGGTTGAGTGGTGAGGGCAGAATGTGGAGTAATGTGCTTACCATCGATTCCGTGATGTGTCCTGGTGCAGAGAGAATGGAGAGGTGAAGTTTCTAACGAAAGGAGACAACAACTCTGTGGATGACCGTGGCCTGTACAAGCCAGGCCAAAACTGGCTCGAACGCAAGGATGTGGTGGGCCGGGCACGCGGGTATGAATCTACAATTCCTTTGCGTCAACCCTCTAATGGCTCCCAAGATCAATTGAAAGATATCCATCATTGGTTTGAAAACCCTGCATGAACTTTACTCTGCCTGCCTTTCCCCTGTTATCTCACTCTGCTCCAATAACCAAAGCCTCTGCAAAGAACTGTGCTCAGTGGGAGGTCGCCTCTTAACAGCTGTTGCTTTTGTCAAAATTCTGCTTCCTTGGCCCAGAGCAGATGTTTTACTTGTTGGTAACACCTTAGGTGACATAAATGTAGTGGTTCCAATGTCTTTATGGCGTAAAAGCGAGTTTAAAAAATCCATTTGAATTGAGTGGGGCTATCAAGTAACCATGATTTTTGGACGTACAAACATCTGTGCAACTAAATGTATCTATCGATGGTGGTATCAGTACGTGCCATCTGCTTCACAAAGTACTCTGCAAGCCTCCTGGTTACTATGCACACTGCAGCAATCATTACACCATACTTGGCAGGCTAATTCCCCAGGTCACTTACAAATGACTCATCCTGGTCTCTTGAGTTCCCACCTGGTTAGATAAATAATCTCGTGCACACCCTTGGATATGTACACTGTACAGCAAGCATTTCCAAGGATGAGCAATGTAGCACGAATAATCGTTGATATGTTCTCTAATACTCGAAAGCGTTTGTATCACAGCTGCTTGGTAATGCCAACCATATTTAGGAGGGCTCTCCTTTTGCAGGTTTGTTCCCTACATTGGAATTGTGACAATTCTGATGAACGACTACCCCAAGTTTAAGGTAAGTTACCAGCTTTCACGTGCTTGTGTATTTCATAATGATGAGCATTGTGTTCATGTTAAATTCAACATAATGGCTTTGGCAATCAATATTATGATTGAAAATATATTTTTTTAGTCCGATTGCCACGTGAGTAAAATGTGTGTCGTATACCCTCCACCCAACACAACCAATTAATAAAGATGTCATGTGCTCATGTATTACTGTTTCGGCACTGTACCGGTGTGTTGGAGAGAAATCTTCACACATTTAAAGATGGGGTACGACACTTAACTCATAGTTACAGGCAGCATCATCAGGCAATTGTCAGAATTGTGAAAATGTCCTCCAGCCTTCGGCCTTAAATGAGGGTGTGCGATGCCATCAGTTAGCACCCAAAAGGAAGCAGGATGTGGCAGGAAGTCATACCTAGAGGTTCATTAAGTCACATAAATTGTAATTCAATTACGTGAGAAGGAATACAAATTTGAGTTACATATTTACATGGTGATACTGGTTACTTAGTTTGAATAAATGGTAAGTAAAATAATGCTGTTTTAGTTTCAACAATGTAAACACAGGTTATTAAAATTGTCATGTGTTTACTTAATGATGCGTTTCCAAGTCACCTGTAGTCAGCTTCTATTTCTCTCAATTTCAGTAGATTATCTAATTAGTCTGGGCCAAAATAAATTCATTTTGCATAGGACATCAACGTCATCAAATTAAATCGGATGTCCTTGTTAGCCGGCACATTCGGCGACTGCCGACACTTGTATTTGTGTTCCCGTGGTTTTCTTTTAGCCTTTGAACAATAATTTGTGATAATACTGCCATGTGCATTGTGTCCCACCAGTACGCGCTGCTCGCCTGCTTGGGTCTTTTCGTTCTCATACATCGTGAGTGACGGAGGAGGAGGGAGCTCGGTTCCCCGATACACGGCCACACGGCGGTGCGCTCTGCGTGTCGCCGTACTATCTACACGGAAACACCGAGCAGCGCAGCCGCACGTCACGGGGGTCCCCGCCTCCCCCGCCTCCCTTAGCACCGCCAGTCGAGCCAACTGCACCAGCCTGTCATCAATAAACATCACAGTCGCTTAGCAACACCTAAGCACATCATACACCACACTTAGGGGTTTACACAACAGCTTTTACAGCAGGCTAATAGTATCTTAAAGGTCACATGTAAAGTTTTTCCTCTCTATGGACTTATGCTTCAAGCCAGGATGGTTAATTTGTATGGTTCTCCTAAACACACGTTTGACTGGCTCTAAGCCTCCATAATCAACATCTGTCATTGGGAATCCATCTGCATTTATTTTGCCCATATCACAAACCCGCACTGATCAGTGTGGTGAAGTACAATCGTTTTTCGCCAGCATGGTTAATTTCTAAATAATCTTCATGGCTTGCTGTCGGAGCATACATTAGAATTACATTCAACTTACAATGCTGCAGGAGCCTAGGTGTGAGCTGGACAACTGTCCGCAGCACTCCTCAACATTGTATGGTTCTGAGAGAGACTCGGGTCCGTATTCTTAGTCACGGCTCGGCTCAGGTTTGGCTCTGGATTGGATCAAGTGATCCAGCTCAGAGCCGTGCTTAACATGAGCCAGCTCTGAGCTTGGTCCCAGCCACACCGGGGAATTCCATGAGCCGATCCTGAGCAAAGCCATGGCTGAGCCGCTCGGGCATCTTTGGAAGTAACGGAGTGGCTCAAACCTGAGCTGAGCCGCGACTGTAAATACATCCCTAACAAACCCACTGTTCCAAAATCATTTCCACCTGCGATGTACAAGGTTACACTTTGTTGGTAATCAGTTTAATCTGTTTTCTCACTTCTAAAAGTAAACTCAAGCAAGCAGTTAATTTGTGGTTATTGCTGCAGGCCCCTTGGTACCTCAAAACTCGATACTCCAACTCAACATTCCACCCCCACCGCTCTGCCAATGTTGAAACCTTCTCTTGTGTACCATATTCTCATCCATCCTCTTCACCTTAACCCTCCACCTCCCTCGAGTGTCTTGAGTCTCTCTTGCCACTCCTCTCCCATCATCCACCTGTGTTTTGCCATCCTGCAAGGCGACTTATCGTGGTGCCTCCTGCTGTCATCCGTGCCAATGACGGAGTCCCTGCTCGTGGCTGAGCTTCATATGCAGTGTCAGAATCCGTACCATATTTTGTAAATCTGTCGAATAAAGGTTTGGTTTAAAAATATATATACATCTAAATCACCACCACGAGGAGCCACTACGATGCTGTGTTTCATACGAAGGAAGGTGGCTTGACTGATTTACAAAGCAGACGCGTGGACAGACAGCTGCAGCACGCACGTCTTGCCGTGCCTCGCCACAAGAGCGTGCTGGATAAACTACACGCGGCACGTCTCCATGTGTAACATTGAGACGTGCCAGTGCTGTCGGCGAGCAACCCAGGCAGACAAGGCGGCGGGAGCGTTGTGTGAACCACAGCAGGAGCTTTACATGCTTGCATGTTAATTGTCCCGTGTGAAGTCAAACACGAGCTGGCAAGCTAATTTAATACAGGAGCCTCGAGTTAAGAGTTATAAAATTTGACTAAGAAGTGTTTTGATACTTCGTCTACCACACGGCCATTTCGGAGTGCATAATTTCAACAGAATTGATTCAATGCAAGCACACTGGACTGGCTGACACTATTTGTCTTGCCAGCAGCTGTCTTACCAGCAGTCAGGCTCGCTTAAACCAATTCGTGAGTGGTTGCGCGAAAAAACACTTGCTTATAGGAAAGGACCCGCTTTATTACATGTGTCCGAGTTTGATGCAAGCCTAGAATACACTACAGAATAATCATGAGTGTCTTTGTGGAGAATGAGGAACCGAATAAGCAGACAAGCCTCAATGTCTCCCTACACATTAATTATGTGCATCTGGAAGTTCGTGCGAATGACCGTAACAAATGCTCGTATGTTTACGTGGGTAGATATGTGGTGGATGTTCATTGTGTTCTCCACGAAGACGAGTGGTTGCGCTGAGAAATGTGTGCATGGATGTACTGTATGCGCTCGTGGGACGCATTGGGCTCGTGCTTGTAAATACCACAGGGTCCCCGGCATTGGGGGTTGTGTGAACTGCTTACAGCATCCACTCGCTCATAAATAATGCGGGATTTGGACAGCGGTGAGATAAGCGGGCATTAAAACGAAAACCTTGTGCAAAGTAGCGTGGAGAGGGTCGCGCTTGGCATTACAGAGAGGAAGAGAAATGTGGAGTAGAGACCGCAGGTTAATGACATCTTCCAAACTTAGGAAAAGTGAGTGGGCTTTGGCCGGACGCGTCACGGCTGTAAGGTAGGGTGGACGATGGTGAAGCATAACAGTGGCAGCCAGTGAGAAGGCCGTCCACTGAAGAGATGGAGCGATGAAATGGGTTAAGATGGGTGGATTGTTGCGTCGCAAGGTTGTGAGGTGATGGTAGATTGGGGAGGCCTTCATCCAGCAGTGGATCATGACCGATGAATTTGTGGTAAATTTCCAGCGATTGGTGGAGGTATTGTTATCCTGAACACGGGGGTAAGTGGCTCACTGGGTGGGTGAGTGGTTGGATGGGTGGCTGAGTCAGGTGGGTGAGTGGTTGGATGAGAGGTGGGTGAGTGAGTGGAGACTGCGGGGTCCCCAGGTCCGAGCCTCCCTCTGCACGCAGTCACGTGGGGCGTGGCCGGGTGTAGCGGGGGGATGCGAGAGGGAGCAGGCGCGTGCTGAACCCCATTATCACATCCGCATCCCTCTCCACCCCGCGGATCTCATCAGGGACGGGGTGACGAGGAGTGAACTGAGAGTACAAGCCGCTACCTCCAGTCTTTGATCCCTTTTCGTTTATGATTCGAGCATCTGATCCCCGGGCCACCACCGCACGTCGTTTATTCCCCCCACGTCTCTGATTCCTGGGCGGGCGGACGGACGGGCGGGCGGGCGCGATGTCTCGCTGGATCAGAGAGCACCTGGGAGGCCTGGGCTTCGGCGGGACGCGGAGGCCACCACCCCCGGAGCCCCCACAGCCCGACTACAGCGCCGAGCCGGAGCTGTCCTGGTGAATTAAAGAGACGCAGTGACACACGCGTACACAGTGTCGGGGCAAGTGCTGTTAGCGAGCATCTATGAAGCTACACGAAGGGGATGGTCAGCATCGCGCCCGGCCGCCTTTGTCTCCCTATTTGCGATGTTTATACACCGAACCAGGTTTTCATTTGAGGCTAAGTCGACGTTGGTCGTGCGCGGGAATCGATGTCGGGTCGCAGGATTCATGGCGCATTGTGCTAACCACTGCGCCACCGCTCTCACGCATATTCATCTGTGTACACAGTCACATCTGTCATTGTAATTCAGCTCGTGCAAAGCGGTGGGACGCATCACGTGGGAGAGAGAGAGGAGGTGTTTGTTGACTCTGAAGGGTAGAGCAGAAGCGGAGGACCTGGATGTGTCGGAGAGTGGACAGCACGGGTGTCTGGGGGAAGGCAACTCCAGGCGGTCGGGGCAGCAGAGGAGCAGAAGCGAGCGACCTCCCAGGTTGACTGAGGGCGTCCACAGAAAGCGTTGGTTGCTGGATGGGAGTGAGATGAGAGGGGAGAGGTAGGAGAGTGCGTGGAGGGGAGTAGAATGAAATGAGGGACGTGGAGGGAGATGAAAGGGGAGCGGTATGTAGCCGTGAGACGGTGGAGGGTCTGGTAGACAGTTGACCTGTAGTTGAAATGAGACTGGAAGCCGCTGAGTTCGTAGTCCAGCATGATTGATGAAGTGAGTGATGTGTGGATGCCGTAGATCGATTTGCAGTGGCCAAGGTGAGAGATCGCGAGAGGGATGAGGGTCACCGCAGGAGGTGTGAGATCCCGCATGGCTGCACCGAGTCTGCGAAGGGAATGAGGCTGTAGGATAATTCCTGGCCGTGTGGCATCAGGAAACGCACGGTTCGACTGGAGTCCTCCCTGAGCGCCTTCACCGCTTGTTGCGGAGGTTCGAATCCAATAACCATAATACGACCCGCCTTCTGCTTGGCAGTGTACGTTAAAGAACCCGTGACGTCTTTGCAAGGGTATAGGGTGCCGGCGTCATGGGTCCAATTTTCCTAATTCAAAATTTACCTGCACATTTTAATCAATCGTGATTACACATAGAGCAAATACTTCTCGAGGGCTTCGGAGCTTGGGCCATTGTTGGCAGCGCAGCTGCCGGCTGCTTGCTCCCTTGTCCACGGTGTCCCCCCGCGTTCGAACGCTACGCGCAGCTTTGCAAATTGCGCATCGCTGCAAGAGGCAACATTCATCTGGAGAGCCGTAACCAGGTGACGATAAGTAGGTTGCATCGAGACAGGACAGCAGATAAGTACCGCCTCAATTCTCGTTAACGACGGTAGCGGCCGGCTGGTGATGGCTGCTGCTGCTGCTCTCTCTGTGCAGTGGAGTGGTGCTGGTCGTGCCCGACCTGGAGCGCGCGTACAGGGCCCAGCGCGACCGCGACTTTGCCGACCCCTACACCACGACCGACCAGAGCGACGGCCTCGGGGAGAGTGGGTCCGCTCGGCCCGGCGCGGGAGAGACGTTAGAGGCCGTCAGGCCCTCGCCGCCGCCGCCACCACCACCGAGCCTGACGTCCGCATCACCAAAACATCGGCTCATCCGTGTGGTCGGCAAGGTGAGTGGGGCTCGCTCAGCCTCACCACCGCTGCACCAGTCTAAACAATCATCTGGAATGTGTACGTGAGCAGTTGTCATTCACTCTCAGGAGAAGAGGGAATGATTAACAGAGCGATTTTTTTGCAGTTTTTCCCTTGATTTTTCTGTTTGCGCTTAGTCACTAAAAACATTCTTGTTCATGTTTTTGTTTGTTGCGGTTGCACCCGATTCAAGAGCCGAATGGCTCACAGGGCTTTACCAAATAAACGAAACTGAAAACTGAAACCGATTTAGAGAAACATAGATACAGAGGCGCGGGAAGGCATCCAGAACCAGCGTCTTCTGGAGAAGAGGCTGTGCAACAACGCCAATGCTACATTACCACTGATTAAATATGCAGAGAGCGAACTCGTCCATCACACATCTATCCCTTCACATAAAACATAATATATTGTACACATCCCGTCAGCCGCACGGACTTCCTTTTGGGTGTGCATCTAGCAGCAGCATAGGTTCAACACAAGCAACATCTGGATGGGTTTTGACATTCAGTGCCTTATAAGCAGTCAGGCTAGCTCGAATCAGTGCTGGCAAACTGCCAGATGTTACAAGCAAGGATCTTGCTTTGATAGATATGGGATCTCGTTTAACACAAAGCTCTACAAACCCAACATGTAATATTGACCAGCGTCGTGGTGGAGAAGAGCCGCCCGTGTGGCCCAGCGAGGGCGCGAGAGCCAGGCTCTGCACTGGGCAGCGGGTCACCATGTGCTCACTGCGCCATTCGGCCCACAAGCTTGGTGCCAGTTTCTTCTGGGTACCCGCTACCCCCCCCCCCCCCCCCGATCATAGCCTGCAGCCACAGTTTGGTTCCACGACACAGGTCACCGCCCGTCCGTATTCGAGCAGGGTTTTTAAAAGTAACTTGTCCGAGCCGACTTTCATGGCAGGAAAACCGACTAATTGTTATATTCGCATTTGCAGTAATGCGGTTCTATGCTCTGACCTCTTGAGTAATCATCCTGTTAAGCAAATTAATTTTAAACTTTACCGCACTAAGCACGTGGTCCCAGCCATTGGGAGCTGGCACGGTGGCTGCTCGCGATGCCCGTGCTCCATTGAGCTCCCAAGTCGCAGGCCCGACGATGCAGGACGTGACGGGCCCTTTAGATGTGACCGTGTACAAGGGGACTGGGGTGCACAGGTGGCATCACCAGAGGAGCGCGAGGACCCCGCAGAGGGACCGACCCCCCCAACTCCGCCGTGCCTCCACATAGAGAGCGACAGCGGCTGCAGGAAAGGGCCCATCCTCCCATCCCCCACGGCAGGTATGGCTTTCATCTCTCTCTCTGAGAAGTTATCACCTTTCCCAAGCAGCATGTGGAGGATTGCCCGAATGATTAAGGTACATCTGGGTTGTGTGTGAGACCCATTTATCAGAGCCCTACGCCTCGCCGCTTCATACGTTAATATTTACATTTAAAACATTTCCCGTGTACAGGCCCAAAGTTCCAACAAACAGAAGAACCCTTGCTTCGATTCAATGCATGATTGGAGTGTATTGTGAGAAATCGGACAAAATTACCTCCGTTTATAACCTGGCTTGAAAATGTATTTTGGAGATGCACGCTCCACTGATTGCAGTGTTGTTGTTCCGGCATAGCAGGCAGATTAGGCAGTGATCTATGATCTATGCTGAGGTGAAGGATTGCCAATGCACGAGGTGGCGCTGCGGCCTCACAAGGCGGCGCCACCATGTGTCCTGGTCGTCAGATGTGGAGGCGAAGGAGGAGGCGGGGAGTGTCAGGCCGCTCCCCTTGCACCACCTGTACGACACGCCCTACGAGCCCCCATTTGCCCGGGGACTCCCCCAGCCTGAGTCCCCGTCTGGCAACGAGAGGGTGAAGGCGCCACCAGGGGACCCCGCTCGACTTGCCGAAACAGCGCCGCCGGATCCGGACTGCGACCCACCTGCCTCCTCGAGCCCAACCCAGGCCCTGGCGCTCCTGCCCTCACACCCCTCCACATCGCGCGTGCCCTCCGCCCTCTCTTCCATTCCCTCGGAGCCCCCCTCGCAGCCCCCCGCCCGAGACAGTCGAATGCCCAAGGATGACGATCGGCCTCCGGAGGAGTACGACCAGCCCTGGGAGTGGAAGCGCGACTGCATCTCGCAGGCCTTCGCTGGTAATGCCAGGATTGTCACATTGGCGCGTTCTGGGCAGCGGTGACCGTACCGTGCCGAGGAGTCTGAGCCAGGAGCAAACCGGTCCACAGTTGTCAATGACTGCATCGCTGCTGCTGCTGGCAGTCCGTCACGTCTGCTCACATTTAATTCAGTTCTTCAGGAACTACTGGTGATTTTTATAATGCACAGAGGCTAGTCCGTTGTACACATTTCTCTCTGTTGTTTGAAACTTGGTGAATTTTATCCCAAAAAAACGCTCAAATGAACATTGAGTCGTGGGTGCTCATCTCCTGTTTGCAGCCCTGAGCCAGTGGTGGAAATTCCACAGGACAACCACTGTTGACTTCCCCCATAAAGTGGTACTCATTTATCGATCCCATAGGGATGATGGGATGAGTCAACTTCCAAGCAGGATTGAACTCTCAACCGTCTGGTGGCGAGCCACTGCGCCACCATATTCTTTCCCCAGGTGGCATGCATAATCCTGTCATGTGACCAATGGGCAGTGTCGTAACCGATGGGCAATGTGCGTGGAAGACAAGGCGGCGTGAGGACCGAATGCTGCAGGAATTTTTATAATTTCGCTTGTTTAGCCTGGAACTCTCACCGAGTCTTACAACTATTTTCAGAAGGGTCCTGGCAAGTTTACGGTGTAATCTTTCTAATTTGGCCTTGACGCCAGGAACATACAGTAGCCTACCCTTGCAAATCACATCAAAGGACATTTACCGTCCACTGTGAAGCAGACGGTGTGCGGTAGTGTTGTTACGGTTCGCACGCACACCAGTATTAACCAGGGCAGCCGCCAGAGTTGAACCGTGAACCTCCGCGACAAAGCGGCAAATGCGGTACTGCGTGGGGTAGCGTCGGCCCTTGCGCCAACCCGGCACTGTCTGTGGCGCCCTCCACAGCGGACGTGAGCTGCACAGACGAGCTGCCATGGCCTCCGCCAGTCGGGCAGCTGGACGGGGAAGCGGGGCCCAGCATCGTGCCTGGCGGTGCGTGAGAGCGCGTGCCCCCACAGACACATCGCCCAGCCCACCCCGACAGCCGCTGCACCACAAACACGTGAAGGTTTCACCGAGTCTTGACACTCTTCCCAGGAGGGTCCTGCCAAGTGTTTGTCGCAGCATTGGGGCGGGGGGGCGATGTTGCTTCTCTACACGACCCCAATTTAGTAATTTGCAGGGAGTTTTTCAGCACTGAGATTTTTGGCTGATGCCCGTCCCGGTGTGTGAGGGGGTTTAGCTATAACAGGAAACCAGAGAACCTGGAGGAGACTCGTACAGAATATACGCCACACAGAAAGGCGCCCGAATTGGGAATCAAACTCAGGTCCTTGCTGCAAGGCAGCGCGAGTGGAGTCCACACTTTAGGACTGCAGAGCAAAGGCCTAAAGACCCACAACGTTAAGCGGCCAGCAACAAACAGCACCATTACATCTGTAATCGTCAAGAGTTGAAGCGTTACTTAAATCTAGCGTAGTTATGGCAGTAAGAGCCTGGGGGGAAAGAGACGATGATGGGAGAGGAAATTCCACAGTTGAGCAGGGCGACGAAAGAAGCAGAGAGAGAAGTGTGGTGACCTGTTTACAGCTTGTTTAACCAGATGTGAACCCAGAGACCAGGATGAGACGTGAGGCATGCATCATTTGCCAGATGGAGGGGGGCGATGATCGCTGATGCTGCTGTGTGAGCACAACTGAGAAATTTTTGTATAATTTTGAAATTTACCAAATTGGGACCTTGACTGCAGCACACGATGGTCTCCTCTTGAGAATGATGTCACGGGATCCTGAGCATCCACTCTGAAGCAAGCGGCGCAGAGTATTTTTACGGTTACTACACAACTGCAGTACTAGTCAGGGTGACCACCGGATTCGAACCGTGATGACAATGGGTCACGTCACTTCCTACTCACCCACGAAACCAGCACACCTGCAATGTCTTGGGTGGGTGAGTTGTTGTGACCGATGAGTTGCATTTAAATTCTCTACTTTCCCTGTACCTTCCTGAGAGCAGCCAATCTCGTACCAAAGACTTGCTGCGCAAGAATGGAGCATTCTCCTGGGCACGCATAGCCGCACGCCCGCTTGTCGCAACTGATTGAAACCACTCGTTGACACTCACCATCTGCAGCTGTTACAGCCATAGGTGCATTCCACGTGACCTGGCGGCGTCCATGGCCATCTCTCGGTGAGTGTGCTTGATTGTGGGTGATGTTCATTGTATGAATGCATTCTGCACAAGGTATAGAGTGACAACATACGCGTGCCATTACTTGTGTGCTGTGTAAGTGCACAGTATGTACATGTGATCTTGTGTGTGCATATTTGCTGTGTTTGGAGCGGTAGTGTAGGGGTAAGCGTGCTGCGCGACGAACCCGGCTTCCTGAGTTCGATTCCCGCTCACGGCCAGCAACACCAGTAACGAATATCTGAACCAGTCCTGGGCCTCCCCTAGGTCGACTCAACCTCAAATGAGTACTCGGTGTGATGTGTAAACACTTCCACTGGGAAGGCAAAGGCGGCCGGGCGTGGTGCTGGCCACCCACTCCCTCGTGTGCCGTGCTGGGCTACATAGGTGCTCGCTAACAGCACTTGCCCCAACAGTCTGTTTAGGCTATAGTGGGGATCTTTGTGCCTGGGTCACCTGGCACCCAGCACCCTCACGGGGCCGCTCCATCTCAAGGGACTTGTACATGTGGAATATTTACGTCAAACGACGATGACCTCACCGTAAAATTCCACCAGTCTGGCTCCTCCTGTCCAGGTCCGGAGTCATCCGGCGATGGGCGAGACAGCCTTTGCTCGAGCCTGGGACATGGTGACACAGATGCAGAGCCCGTGGGGACGGCCGCGGAGGAGCCACAGGCGAACAGAGTGGGGACGGACGCGGACGACCACGCCATGGGGCAGCAGCTGTGAGTTGCAGCCACTGGAGCCATGCACTTTTAAATCTAGATTGAACTGCTTTTTGTTTAGTTTGTTGTCAAACCCCTCGCACCTCCGATTAGCGCGGTTGGCTATGTACGGTGCGAAAGAAGTTCAACATTGTACTACATAGATTCAGCACCAGCAGCTGCAGAGCATGCGCCGAGCAAGCGATGGCCAGAGAGAGCACGGAGGCAGAACCCGGCGGCTCGGCGGGGGAGCTCACATCCTGGTTGGGGGTTACCCCAGTCCATCGGCCATCTCTGCGAGGTTGATAAAATGAATTTAACACGTAGGCTTTCGCGACCAATATTATTCAATATAGGTTTTTGGGTCAGATCGCATTATTTATAAATGTGTTGTAACCCTCCACCACCCGACACGACCAAACAGTAAAAAATGTGTCACGTATTTCAAAGGACAAAATAATTCACTTCTTTAGCCCACCGGTGTGCTGTAGAGAGAATCAACAGCATTTAAAAATTTGAGTACGACGTTTCGCTGATAATTACAATCAGCTTCATCGGGCAAGAATGGTGAAGCTCTCCTATTGCTTCCGGTCTTAAATAGAGCAGCATCAGGGTGCCGTCATCATTCAATTCAATCTGGTGCAGTGATTCGAGGCAAAGAGGGGGAGGGTATTGTAATTATATAGATTGGTAATCATTCAATTGTTATTCATTGGTATTTGTTTCCCTTATAAGGAATTGTAATTGTATTTATTTAATAATATGCTTCCAGGCCGCACTAAGCCTGTAGCTGTCAGAGCGATTGAAGTTATTTCTGTTTCTCTCAATTTCAATGGATTCTTTAATTAGTCTTGGCCAGTAATAATTCGTTTTACACAACACTTCAACGTTATCAAAATCAACTGAGTGTCCTTGTTGACAAGCATGCTCTGCCACTGCCGACAGTTGTGTTTGAGATAATTTAATGTTTCTTTGGTGTTCTTTTAATCTTACGCTGTTATATCCCGTCTGTCCAATATAGCATTTGCCACATAAACAATTAATCCGATATACACCTTCTGTTGATAATTTAGGCAATTCGTCTTTAGTGCCAGATACCAGTTTTTGAATTTTGTGCACTGTACCAAATCTTACTTTAATGTTTTGCTTTTGCAAAACCCGGGCTAATTTGTCAGTTACTCCTGAGATTTATGGTATTTTTAAATCCTTTATATTAAGTTCGCTTGCTTGCTTGCGTGCTTGCTTGCTTACGACCGTGCAAATCTTTCGGTCGTGTTTTAACCCACTTCCCGTGATACAATCGCGCTGACATTTTCCACACAGACTCGTTGTGCGTGACAATTAATTTTCGTGAATTTTTTTTTTACACTTTTTAGGACAAAAATATTATATTTAATTACCAATTGCTTAATGGTGCCATGCAATCATCTGACCCATAGGTGGCAGCCATCTCAAGCCAGAGGACGAGAGGACTCTAGCCGCCACACATATAAAGGATTTATAGTGAAAAACTTTGTTTTTATGGGTTATACTTGTTATTGTTTGAACAATCTTATCGTTTTCAGCAGTGTTGCTTTGCGTTTGTGATTTGGCCTTCAGTGCTCTGTTAATTTGAGCATTATTGTAGCCATTCTGTCTTAGTGCTTCTAACATGTTTCATCTCTCTCACTACTCTCACCATCTGACACTGTTTTAGCCCGATGTATGAGTGTTTTGATAAGAGACCATTTCTGAGCTGGGTGATGATGTGAATCTGCATTCAGATTGGCATCAGATTGAATTGAATTGAATGATAACGTCACCCTGATGCTGCTCTATTTAAGACCGGAAGCAACAGGAGAGCTTCACCATTCTTGCCCGATGAAGCAGATTGTAATTATCAGCGAAACGTCGTACTCAAATTTTAAAATGCTGTTGATTCTCTCGTCAGCACACCGGTGAGCTAAAGAAGTGAATTATTTTGTCCTTTGAAAAACGTGACACATTTTTTTACTGTTTGGTCGTGTCGGGTGGTGGAGGGTTACGACATATTTATAAATAACGCGATCTGACCCAAAAACCTATATTTTGATAAAATGAGTTTACGCTGTGCATAAGTCAACAGTGGTTGACCTATGAAAAACCTGCCCTTGACATAGGAAGGTAGAATTTCTACTCCTGACCTAGGGAAGGCCCGGGATAGGTTCAGATAATCGTCACTGGTGTTGGCTGTGAGCGAGAATCGAACGCCAGGTTCGTGGCACAGCGCGCTAACTGCTACACTAGCGCTCCCCACACACACATACACGCTAATACACATACACCCATACATAAAAGTGCTTACACATGGTCTAAGATACAATCAGACACATATCTACACACAGCAAAGGGTTGCCAGCTCTCCAAGTTGACCCGGACTACCACCACAACCAATACCAGCACATCCATCACCACAACCAACAACACCATTACACCCAACACCACCGAAACCAACACCACTTCCATCACCACTGAACACAGAATTGCCGTCTACGTTAGGGTGGCAGGAACTGATTATTTATGCCAAGATCTGGTGCCGGTCTTGTGCTGAAAACTCTTGTCACAGTGGAATGCACAGGCCTGACAATAGTCCCAGGCTGACTGGGGGATGTGTCTGGGTTTGACGAGCGTGGTGGGGGAAGGGGGCGACCCCACCTCTTGCACCTGGACCCTGAGAGATCCAGAGACTCGGGCAGGTGGACATGCGTCCTGCTCACGCTTATTCCAGCGCACAAACCGGCTCCACCCAAGGCAGTAAATTTGTGGTACCGATTTCTTTACACGACCAATAAGAGTGGATTACTAGACAACCCCACTCACGTCAAACGGGTCTCACGCGATGCAGTCATTGGCCACATTAGGGAATTGGAACCTCTAGTTACGCTACCGGAGGTGCAACCGACAAGTGAGATACATCGTCTGGGCTCTTGGACTAAGTGATGAAGTCATGGAGTGTGGGTTGGTGGTCATGGAGGTGATGAGGTGGCGATTGCAGTGATGGTCACTGCAACGGGTAGCGATGACGACGGTGGTGAAGGTGGTGTTGGTGGGTGTTGCGACTGTTCCCCGCACCCTGTCAGCGACTGTTCCCCGCACCCTGTCAGCAGCTGGTTCCATGGAGACATCGGCCGCGTGGAAGCCGAGCAGATCTTGCAGCAGCACCGCACATCCAGCTTCCTGGTGCGGCCCAGTGAGAGCGACCCCCGTGAACTCTCTCTCTCGCTCCGGTGACGAGGCCCTCCCCCTTCCATCGCACGGCACCACCACACGCAACCTTGGCAGCAACCCTGGCACCGTCCGCTTATTTATCTTTAAACTTGTATCGTCGCGTGCGAGGTTCACGATCAGAGTGATGAAACGGTGGCCGCCTCGCGCACCCTCACACTCCACCCACCCCCTGGTGTCCCCAGGAGCACCGCGGGGTTTGTGCACATGTGCGTGTCGTGGGACCAGGGCGGCCATGTGGTGCTCGGAGGAAACTCTCCGCCCTTCGCCTCGGTCCCGGAGGCCGTCCTCTTTTACCGCAGACGGCGTCTGCCAGTGCGGGGCGCCGAGCAGCTCTCCCTGCGGCACCCCGTGCCACCCTCCTCCTCCCTCTCTTGCCATGTCGCTCACCCAGCCTGCGCCTCGTCGCCCTCTGAGCGACGATGGCCTCTCGCTCTCCTAGAGGCCAGAGCGGTGATCCGAGTCTGCAATTCCGTGCCAATCGCTGCCGAGAGCAGAGGCGCCTGCCACACGGCTCGCTCGCCTCCCCTGGGGGACGCAGAGCACCCAGAGCGCAACCGGGAACAGATGCAACATCACCAGAGGCACAGGCACGGCCCTGCCACTAGCACACGTCCTAATCTACGGCCAGCGTCTGTACTCATAGAGTGTGTGGAAGGGAGTGGAGTGAGGGAGAGGTAGGCAGGAGTGAGCGTATTCTTGCCATGATCTGGGATTGAATCTGGAGCCAGTGGAGGGACCGAGTGTCGGGGTGATGTCTCTCAACATGAACCCACACAACCATCAATGTGTTTGTGTTTAACGCCGACTCGGGTGAATAAAGCACAGAGGGAACCATGTGCCGTCCTATGCGGTGATTACAGCTCCACGTTTATTCATGGGGGGCTGCACGGAGCAACAGCAAACACGAGGGAACTGCGTCTCATTCCCTTCCGCCATCAGGGTAGCGTGTCGTGCCCGCAGCAGCCGAGCCCGTGATATGGGCCACAGGACAAGCAGTGACCGCCACGGCGGAGGCGTTCACCACACTCGCACAACCGCAATTCGCAGCTTTATCCCCCCCCCCCCCCTCAGTTACAACGAATCAACATCAAAGCAGATGTAATGAGACGGGCATCTTGGGGTACCCACTGCCGTGCCAGGATGTACCCACGGTGCCTGTAAGTAATCGGGTTGATTTGCTGCCGTATTCTGCGGACGCTGTAAATCGCACGGTCTCGCAATCGCTTCAAACATAGCTGGCAAGATCAACTGCGGCTCCTCTAGGAATGCAGCCAAATGCCACCGGGGGTCACGCCAGCCCCCAACGGGTGCCCCGAGAACCCCCGCATATCGTGGCACCACCCACACTACACAGATCGCTCCCATTGCCCTTCAAATCAGGTTTGTATCATTTCCGGGTTACAACCGGTTAACATTGGTAAAACAGCTGTTAATGCCGGTTTGCCACAGATTGAAATGTCTACAGCAATTGGTTTTAAACTGAGAATTGACAGGAGCTGCCGCAGCGGAGTCACAGCAGCACTGGACTGGTAATCCAGAGGTCACCGGTTTGAGTCCATCTCCCGGAGTGGTCGCTGAAACAGCGCGGTGAGTTTCATTCAGAACAGTCGTTAACGTTTAACTGAAGTCGGTCACCGTTTCTAACTTTGGGAACCGGTAACCGATTCTGAAAAGAGTTTTCGGTTTAGTGGTTGTTGGTTAAATCTCATCTCCTAAAACCACAGCATTACATAGACTCACACGGAACCATAGAATCGCACAGCGACCTATAGAATTGCCCTAACAGTCTCCCACCATCTGTTCCTAGATCTTCCCCCTGGTCACCGAACCCGTGGCGACTACTCCGATGCCAGTCTTAGCCATCGGCTCTAATATTCACTGGGTTATGGACGGACGCATTATGCAAACTTGACATCGCCTTCATCAGAAATTAAGGTGCCCATACAATGGACCAAACAGTAAACCTGCAGCCTTATACACACACAGCGGCACACCGGTGTGACACGGTTACACACACAGCGGCGTAATGCTGTGATGCGGCAAGCTACCAGCGACACAGGTGTCACACATGCATTTACGTTGATTATGTTGAGTTAAGGAGCAAAGATAAGAGGCCTACGGCAAGCCAATCAGATCTGTAAATCACGAGAAAAAGCCAACGTAACAGAATATTAGTGCAGGCTGCCGGGAAACTGCGAGTTTCAGACAACACCACAGACATATGTACATACTGCTCAGCCTCTGTGCATTATGCACAAACCATCAGCAGTTCCTCAAGAACTGCATTGTGGTCCTCTAGTCTTAGGTGACCATCGCAATAGCTTTATCAAATTTATTTTTAGTGCTTCAGGAACGGATGGTTTTACATACGCAGAGAGTGTGTGTGTATTTACATGTTTCTCGGTGTGCTATTTGAAATCCACGCAGGCTAAGATGAAGCCATCGCTTCAGGATTAACAGTGACATTGCCAGGCATTGCCCACAGCATCGTGCCCCGGGCATCGGAGGTAGGCCGGAGGTTTAAGTCATTGAAGGCTGGCAGACATACAAATCGTCCGTCAGACTCGGGTATGAAGGGCACGACGCCTCCTAGAACCGGAGCGAAGAAGGGCATGGCCGCAGGGTTGACGCGTCTGCGAGTCTGGACGGAGGCGGCGGTCATCGGCCGGCCGGACAGCTCCGTGGGCACAGTCGGCACATGCAGGTGACGCTTTCTCGTATTTTCCGACGTTGCAAGTCCGCGGCTGTCACAAGCTCGAGTCGCTACGGTTGTTGTGGCGCAGGGGTTGCGTGACCAACGTCATTCGGTTGCTCTGGATTCGGTTACGAGTCAAGCGGTCGTCTTGTTCAATCGACGTGTTTAATAAGAGAGTGCTCGTTTAAAGTTAGTGGACCATGCGGTTCGCAAGAGACTAAGTTGGTGAGCGAGTGAGTAGAGCGAGTGAGTAGAGTGTGTGACTACTTCGGTACGAATCGATTGTGTGTGTGTGAAGCGCACAATTCGGTAGCATTGCGGGGCCATGCCATCGCTGGACGAGTAGTACCACATCGAGCCAGCCTGGAGCACTGCCAGCCGGCCGTGCGGGCAGTGAGGCCCGTGCTGTGGTCAGGTGGTGAGGCTGGAGGTAGAACTGCCACTGCCGTTGTCTTGGTTTTTCTGCAGCGACTGGACGTGGGAGGGCACCTGCAGCCCAGTGCGGACTGACAGCGAGCCGCACCAAACCTGCACGCGCATCAGGCACAAATGACTCGGTCCAATAATTAAACTCGTGAGCGCATCCGGTACTGGCGCCATCGCTCTTACAGCACAAGGCAATCATCGTGAAGGAAGGTGCCACTACGTTTCAAACGCAGTATGTGTGGGGGGGGGGGGTGATGCTGCCTTGCATAAATGCCCATCGAATCATTTGTGGCCAAGTTTTCAAACGTGGACCACGACGCCGGCACACATTGGCCAACTCTTTTCGAATGACGTCACAGGATCCTTAACGTCCACTGTGAAGAAAATGGCGCGGATTTCACGGCAGTATTAATCAGGTCATCCTGCTGAATTCGAACTGTGAACCTTTGCAACAAGCGGTGAACGTGCTACAGCTGGGACGTATCGCAGACCCCTCATTCTGGACGTTCTAGCTGTACCGTGACCGCTTCCGCGAACGCAGAAACCAAAAGATGCCGATCACCCAGAACGGCATTGAACCGTGGTCACTGCCAGTCTCAGGTTCACAGAACAACTCTTCTGGGTGGCCTCAGAAGAGGTTACCCCATGCTCATGTATGCAGATGCCTGCACATAACAAGCAGGTAATTCGCCCCCCTTCATAAATCTGTCACTCCACATATAAATATAAGTATTTTTTTTACACAACCCATCAGCCACATGGCCTTCTGGGAGCGCACAATTTTGGCAACATTGGTTCAACGGCAGAAATCTCTGGACCTGTTTCAACATTCAGTCTCTTATCTGCGGAGTCAAGCTTGCTTGGGTAGGTGAGTGGGCGAGTAAGGCGGTGAATGGCTGAGTTAGCAGTAGTGTAACGGTTTGCGCGCTGCACTACGAACCTGCCGACCCGAGTTCAATTCCTGCTCGTGGCCAACAGTGACAATTATCTGAACCAGTCCTGGGCCTTCCCGAGGTCGACTCAGCTTCAAATGAGTACCTGGTCAGATGTGTAAACATTGCCACTAGGGAGACAAAGGCGACCGGGCATGGTGCTGACCACCCACCCCCTCATGGGCCGTACCGGCCTTCATAGGTGCTCACTAACAATACTTGTCATAACGGTCTTCGTGTTGTGACCTGCAGTATGGTGGTGGTTGAACAGTGTGGATGAGCTGACACAGCGTCTGGTTGACCGAGTCCTCAACATGGGAGGAGGAATCAACAAGGGAAGTTCACGGGTACAGCGACCATGGTAGTAGTGACACAAGAGTGATAGGTACGTGACTGACTGCCCGCCGACGAGCGAGGGGAGGGAGTCATTAAGTACAGTGGTAATGTTCATAGTGGTAATAGCGATAGTTTTATGGACAGACTGACCCCCACCATATGAATGTGGAAATTCCACCCCTGGCTCACTGCTGTAATCAGGTGATGAGTGCCACTCTTGACACTTTGAACAATGGCCCAAAGTAAACGAAGCTTTTAACAGGGAAGAGGAGCCCAGCTTCCTCGATGCCTCCTCAGCCAGGTGAGCAATGCAGCCACTCCATGACAGCTCGGATGATGAGCTGCTGCTGCTGCTGCTGCAACCCTCGGCTGCCTACGTGGAGGATGATTGGTGGAGGATAATTGGCGCAGGCGGTGGCAGCCGTCGTACTCACGGAGAAGGCCGGCAGCACGGGCTGAGAGAAGCGAACACGGAATGTGTGCAGCAGCTGCTTAGACTCGGCGTTATAAAAAGACACGAGCCCTGCACACGCACATGAGCGCAGACGCACACAAATGTGGGTGAGGCTGCGAGTGGAGGTCGCAGGGTGTGCAGCAGTAAGGACTGATGAGTTAGACGTGACAACAAAACTTTAACATTTATGGGCCTAAAAAACTGAGATGGGGGAAACACTGTAAACGGGACACGAAATCACAGGGTTTTCCTTTAATTAGGCGCTGCTTTTTTCCACACCTCTTCGGTACCGTCACCCGCAGCGGAAAACCGCTCTCTTCACAGACTCTGCTGCTTGTGTGGGATTGGGATTTGTTCTCGGGAGAACTATGAGCCGCTGCCGCCAGCGCGAGCGTAAGCAAGGTACCGTTGTCGTAGTCGCAGTAGATCCCGATGTGCGTTGGGGCCGGGCCCTCCAGGCTGCGGGCTTTGTTGTTGTGTTTGGCGGCCACGCTCAGCTGCAGCCACGTGTTCACGTACAAGGCCCAGGATGCGGCCGTGCGACCCAGCTGCTCGAAGCGGCCCAGGCCTCGGTTGGCCACACCGGCCCCGTAGGCCTTGCTCTCCCGTGACACTACCACCTCCCAATAGTGCTGGCCGCAGTCGATGGCCGAATCCCCTGGACACAAAACATTTGCAAACAAATGGGCGACGGTGTGGCACGGTGGCAACACTCGTGCCTCGCAGGAAGAAAGGGCTGGGTTCAATTCCCAACTTGGGTGCCTTTCTGTACCGAATTTGTTTGTTCCCCCCTCATTCTGCATGTGTTTCCCCCGGGTCCTCAAGTTTCCTCCCACAGCTAAAAAGTTAGTAAAACACAATATAACTGATATTGCATTAACATCCCAATTCTAGTAACTGACCCACTAATCACTAAATTTAACAATCCTAACCCTCACAAAAAATGTTTAACTAAGCAGAAAGAGATTCCCCCTTTACACATGTACCTCCACAAAAACAATGTTACTTGCACATCTCATCAGCCATACATCCTTCATTCTGGGTATGCATTTTATCAACAGCAGCGTTCGTTCATAACACAAGCAAACTCTGGACCGGTTTCTACATTCAGTATCTCATCAGCAGTCAGGCTTGGTTGAATCAATGCTGGCAAACTGCCAGATGTTCCAGACATGGGGCCTCTGTAAGAAATGGATCCTAAGAGTTTGAGCAAATCGATTCTGCACAAGATGAGATGATGCTCGGTGACGTGGTGAAGAGTTCTCCGCTCCGTACCCAATACAGTGTACGACTCTCCTGAGAAGCGGTCGCGGCTCGCGCGGCTGGGTGAGGGTCTGCACGACGGGCGTTTGGGTGACGCAGTGATGCCCCTGCAGCGAGCACGCACAAAACACACACACACCCATATTTGCACGTATCCATACACACGTGCCAGCTCATGCCATTCAAGCTCCATGCAATTCTCGTGCTTTTGTAGGAAAGCCATGGCAAGGTGATTTCACGTTTGTTTTGTTCATCGGGGTGAGAACGCAAGAGAGCAGGACGAGTCTCATTTGCAAGAGTGACCTGGGTCACTACGATGACAAAAGCAATATCGTAAAAACTAAGTATAACAATGAAACAAATATAAATCAGAGCCATTTTTTATTTTATTTATATACCGTCAAGTAACCAGCAACAAGCAGCAGTAGCAAAGTTGCAACAGAGAAGCGTGAACATGTTCCTTGAATTGAGCAAGATTCTTATGGGAACTTGGGGGAAAAAGACAATGGGGGGGGGGGGGGGGGGGATTCCACAGTTGAGCAGTGCAAAATCCATGGTGGTGTTAACAGTAACATTGCATTCGTCTATCAGCGGCACCGTGCCTGATAATCAACGCCTCGAGACAACTAAACCCCACCTCCTGTTCCTTACAGGAACTCGCACACACCCCATCTCGGCCCTTTCAAGCCCCATTCACTTCTCACACTCGTGAACTGCAGTAAACCACGGCCAGGTGGAATGTCACTTAAGCATGGGAAACACGACAGCACTTACCAGGAGGTGTGGGAGGCAGCAGGAAGCACAACGGGTAGATAGCAACATGGGGGTGGGGGGCACACACGCACATCAGGGTGAGCGGATCGCGCATCTGGCAGCACATGCACACACGGCAGAGCAAAGCGCACACACATGAGCTGTGACATGGGGAGGCCAGGCAGGGTGCTGGTCATTCACCCCCTTGTGCACCATGCGGAGCTTCATAGGTATTCCATAACAGTACTTGCCCCAATAGTATTTTAAGGCTATCTTTGTCTTTTGTGCGCATAGGGGATGGTGGTGCAACGGTTAGTGCACTGCGCTATGAACCCAGGAACTCGAGATCGATTCCCGCCCAACGCCAACATCAGTATGGTGCAAACATCACTGCTGGTGAGGCAAAGGCAGCCGGGCGTGGTGTTGCGTACCCAGCCCCTCATGTGGTGTAACGGCCTTCATAGGTGCTCGCTTACAGCACTTGCCCCAACAGTCTATTAAGGCTATATGGGGAATCTTTGTCTTTGATGAGACTGAGACGTGTCTCTATTGCATACGCTGGTGGTGTTACCCACACTATCCCCTTGTGTGCTGCGTTGGCCTTCTTTAGGTGCTGACTAGCCACTCTTGCCCTAACAGTCTGTCATGGTTACATGGTGATCTAAAGACTCATCCCCACACAGATGGAACAAGAATAAGCATAGTTTGTATTGAGCATCATTCTATGTAGCTGCATCTCACAGCACAGCACAGCACAATATAATTAAGATTTGTTTTCAGCCAATTAATGAGTGCTAATACGTGTGGAAGGAAACTGGAGCACCCAGAGAAAACTAACACGGGTGAAGGGGCAACACATCTCACACAGATGGGACAGATATAGATTAGTCCCTGATTGCTATACTGTCCTCTTCTGGCGAGTCAGGGTACAACTCCTCGACACCAATGGAAGAGGAGGGGGGGTTTCACGACATGCGTGCGATCCATCAACAAAAACATGGGCTCAGCGTGGCACGCTGTGGGGTGAGCGGTGAGACGGGGGGCTCGGGGAGACAAAAGCGTGCAGGGGGTGCGCAACCTCAACGGAGGCTTGATGGGGAGCAATGCTTGATGGCTGAATCAGAACATACGCACGCACACATGCACTCGCATCATGTTAAGCACACGCAAACACATGCATGAGTTTGCAGTTAAAACATGAAAAGCATTGGAAATGGATGGCTGGAACAATGTCATGATGCTAAAAAGGTTGGGCCACAATGATTTATAATCAGTGGTCTGCTGCTGCTCTCACGAGCACCGAGACGTTGGTGCTTGAGCCGCTCGCTTTCCTGCTGCGCCTCATGGCCAACGTCTCGCAGGCGTTCATGTGTTTCATGATCGCACCTTTATCAGCATCTTAATTTGTCCTGGAGAAATCCGATGAGCTATGAAGCTCTTTTTCAGAGATGTGCCCAGGAGAGCCTCACCGAGTCTTTGTAACTGTTCTTCAGGAGGGTCGTGCCAGGTTTTCGCAGTTGGGGATGATTGCTGTGTAGATTCCAATTGAGAAGATTTGCGGTGTAATTTTTCAAATTTGGGAAATTTACACCTTGGAGCCAGCAGACAATGCGCTACTCTTGTGAATGGCATAGCTGTAAACCCATACAGTTTACCTGTATTCTTGTACAGGGAAATTGAGTGTTCATGTCCATATGGCGTACAGCTGTTTTGATACAGGCAAAAAACTATTTTTTTCGTCTGTTTGTGTTTCTCCCTTGTGATGGAATTTGTAAAATGAACGTTGAGATTTATAAGGGCACGGGGTGACCAATAAGGTCTGACTTGGTCTGTAATAAGGTAGGCACTGATAAGGGGTTGACAGGTTTGGAATGGTGTCACGGGATCTTCGATATCCGCTGTGAAGCAGGCAGCATGTGGTATCCTTATGGTTAATACACCACAGTATTAATCAGGGCTCCCGCTGGATTCAAACCATGAACCTCTGAAACAGCGGCAAAAGCGCTGCCGCTGAGCCGCGTCACGGTAAATTAATCGTTTCCTGAGAGGGTTCTGTAAAGAATGAGCATTGCTATAAATTGACATTTCTCAATATATAGGGGAATCTGACAACAGCATTTGCAATAGAGACATGTCTCAGTCTCATCAAAGTCAATTCTGAGGCTGAGTCGATCTACGGGAGGCACATAACCAGTTCAGATAATCATCACTGGTGTTGGCCGTAAGCAGGAACCGAACTCAGGTCACCGGGTTCCAAGCGCAGCGTGCTAACCACTGCGCCACCGCTCCCAACATTGGGAGAGACGCAGAAGAGGATGGGGAAAGAGACCCCCGTGTCACCATGGCGACACGGGGGTCTCTCGTGTCGCCACGGTGATGCCAGATTCTCTACCATGATGGCGGGATCTCGCCAAGCAAAGGAGGCCATGTGTGCGGGGCGTGGGTCACCTAATCGGAGAGCCAGCAGGGGAGGCAGACGCAGACCCTGGACGGCCCTTCCCCTCCTTGGCCTTTATCTTGAGGTCATGACTCTTGACCTCGTGAGCCTTGGCATCGAGGGCCTTGCCGCCCGTCGAGTCCCACTCAACACTCTGGTTGTCCACGCGCAAGTTCGAGTGCGAGCTCGCAGCATCCAATGAAAAGTTAAGCGCTGCAAACATGCGCATACACCCACCATGAATGGCAACATCACCAACATAGCAACATCACCAATATGAACATCCACATCACCAAGATGAACAAGTCAACGTGACCAGCGCCGCTGATGCCACCATTGCACCTCCTCGCTAAAAATGCCTTATGCCCTCCGCCAGACATATCCCGAAGCTGCTGCAGTTGACACACAGCAACCTGAGAGATCTGTCCTGACAGCCTCCAACCATTGGCTCTTAGACTCCCACAAAGACCTACAGACTCGTAGAGACACATAGACTCACACAGAGACCCATAGACTTACACAGAGACCCATAGAGTCAGAGACCCATAGACTCATACAGAGACCCATATATATGCCACCATCTCTCACCTTCTGCTCTTTAGCTTTCTCTTTTCCTTGATCACCGGACTTTTGAAGACAACTGCGATGTTGAACTGGTCTCGGCAATCAACCCTCCTCACTCCTGCCTAATCATACTTAGGACAATCATCTTACCTCAAAGTTGCTTTGCCTATCCTCCAATCTGCCCAATCATAACGACATAACTCAGCTTCCACGTTCTCTTCAGGACTTCTTCGTGGCTTCTCCTGTCCTGCCACGGAATATGCACCCACGCTAAACCGCCGCGTGGAGCGCGCTAGCGCCCCATTGTAACCTCCTCGCATAAAACACGGGCCGATGTGGCCTTGTGCGGAGGGGACTGCCACCACAACCGCGAGCATTCACAGACAACCCCGGCACCCTAACCTGGCGTGGGCAGCGACAGCGGCTCGCAGAAGTCCCCGCACACAGCCTTGTTGCAGGCCCGCACGCGCACGGTTAGGTAGCTTTGCTCAAACACCAGCCCTGGCGCACGTACGAGTAGGAGGAATAGGAAAAGAGAGATAGAGAGAGAGACGGGGAGGAGAGAGAGGGCGGAGGGAGAGAGAGGGGGGTAAAGGGAGAGAGAAGAGGAGAAGAGGGAGAGTAGGAGGAGGGAACGCCTGTGTAAGAGGCTGCTGCGAGTCTCTCCATAGGGCAACCAGTGGGTGAGCGTTCATGGGTTAACAGTGAGTGTGTAGACGAGTGTGCATTTGTACCAGTGATCGTGTGTATGTGGGTACCAGTGATGGTGTGTATCTGTGACAGTATGTGAGTACCAGTGATGGTGTGTATGTATGAGAGTATGTGGGTACCAGTGATCGTGTACTCCAGTTCCGTGAGGTCCTCCACCGTGGTCCAGGCCGGGGGGTTTGGCCCCCGGGGCGGGGGGGGCCCTGCCCGCTCCGCAGCGACAAACTGCAGCACAAAGCGCTCAACCTGGCCTGAGTCCTGCTGGGGCGGCTGCCACCTCAGCCTCACCGAGTTGTCCAACACAACACAGCCGGGGACGTCAAACTCTGGCATGCCCGGTACTGAAACGCGCACATACACGTACACACACACACGCACGCATCGTTTAGCACGGGCAAGCTGCATGCAAAATTCACTGAATCAACTTTTTCCATGAATTGTGGGACCGGCATCCTCACCACATATGAGACTTACACACGCAGGCTTTCTTACTTGGTATTATTTGTGGTTCAACTCTTTTAGGAATTTCGTAGGAGGGGCCAATGTTTCTGTGTATGGTCCCAAGTGAGTGATTTGCAGGTAATATTTTTGCATTGGGATGTTTCACTATTACCAGTTACATTGCATATTTTTTTTGGCAACGAGAAGAAACCAGAGAACCCAGAGGAAACTCATAGAACAGGGGAAGAACATACAAACTCCTCACATAAAGTTTCCGGAGGTGGGAATCAAACCCAGATCTTTCCTGCTAAGGCATGGGTGGTAACACTGCACCACCCTGCTACCAAGGAAGTCTAACTTCATAAACTGTTCAGTTTCATTGCTGTATCCAGAACTATGCACCGGAGACAGCTACAGTGCATTACTCAGTCCAGTAACGGACACAGGAGCAGATTCTGGTTACGCCTCCCCGATTCCAGCGGCTACAGCATGACCCCCAGCGTTCAAAACGTTCATCACAGCATGCATCTTCCATATGCGTCACACAAAGATTCCCTGTATAGCCTGCAACAGACTGATTGGGAAAGTGCTGTTAGCAAGCACCTATGAAGGCCGACACGGCACATCACGCCCGGCCGCCTTTGTATCCCCAGTGCCGATGTTTACACACTGCACTCGGTACTCATTTGAGGCTGAGTCAACCTAGGGGAGGCTTAGGACCAGTTCAGTTAATCATCACTGGTGTTGGCCGTAAGCGGGAATCGAACTCGGATCGCCGGGTTCATAAGCAGTGCACTAACTGCTACACTACCACTCCCCACAATAAAGATAAGGATCCCCCATATAGCCTTAACAGACTGTAGGGGCAAGTGCTTTTAGCAAGCACCTATGAAGGCCGCAACGGTACACGAGGGGGTGGGTGGCCAGCACCACGCCCGACCGCCTTTGTCTCCCCAGTGGCGATGTTTACACATCGCACTGGGTACTCATTTGAGGCTCAGTCGACCTAGGGGAGGCCCGGGACTCCCCACAATACACACTTAAACGCACACACATCAACACACACCTAAACCCACACATGTCACATGCGCATACATCAAAAACAATATTCATTTTACATGAACTGGCAGTGACATCACCACAATGCTTGCACCAAGACTAAATTCAATTTCAGTCTGTCACTTGAAGTGAGGAAGACTTGTTGCTGGCAGGAGGTCATGGGACAGACACAGTTGGTTTTAGTTGACTGAGATGACTGGTATATGTGTAGTGGTGGTATTGACGTGCGCCGACAGTGATGGATCACGGGGCGCGGGGTTGGGCACGCGATGTGGGTGTGGTATGGACGCGCGCGCCGGTGGTAAGGCGCGCTGACACAAGCTGGGAAAAGAGGATCGTAGCGAGTGCGCAGTGATTGGTCAGATAAGTGGGTGCTCTCAGCGACGTCCGCAGGAGGGGTATAAAGGGAGACGCGCGAGAGCACTCGGGGTCAGTGTTAACCAGTTGAAGACCGAAGACGGGGTGGAGGAGGTAGTGGCCCGAGACCCCTAGTCCCGCCGTCCTTGTGAGGACCGGGGCCCTGTGCGGCTCGGAGCCGAGACTGGGGGACCGTAGTCCGACGCCCGTGTGGGTCGGGACGGTGGTACCCAGAGCCGAGACGGGCACCCCGGCTGGGTGTGTCCCGGAAGGCTACGGGGCGTAAGAGCCCGTGTCAGTATAGCTGAGTGGGTGTTAGTCACCCGAGTAGCTAAGGAGGGTGTTGGTCACCCGTGTAGCTGAGTGGGTGTTGGTCACCCGTGTAGCTGAGTGGGTGTTAGTCACCCGTGTAGCTGAGTGGGTGTTAGTCACCCGTGTAGCTAAGTGGGTGTTAGTCACCCGAGTAGCTAAGTGGGGTGTTAGTCACCCGTGTAACGAAGTAGGGTGTTAGTCATCCGTGTAACTACAAGTTGGTGAAAATAAAGAGTGTGCTACCCGTGAAGTCGTCTCCTGCCGAGTTACTACCCTACATATGCACCATCTGTGCTTCCCAGTGCGCCACCTCGATGCTTTTGTCTGCCAGGCAGCCCGCTCATTGTTGCAAGCATCGGTCCTCCAAACTATCACCCATGCAGACGCAAGCACTCATGCACACAGATGCATGCACACAGATGTATGCAAATAGACGCACGTTCACACAGCAGCACCCTCATCATTCCCACCACCCAGTGCCCACCAGGCAGAAACGTGAGACCCTTGAGACGATCCCTCTCTGGGGAGAAGTCCACCATCAGGTGATTCATGCTGTCCGAGACTTTAGCCTTGAGGGACAGACGGAAGGCGGGCGCCATCGTCACCCTGGCAGCAAGGACACACGCAGCAGCACTTCACTTCAACTTGACAATGATGTTGGTGAGGACTTTGTTTTTGATAAAGCCGACCTCATTTACTCAGATCACTGACATCGCACCTCATCTCAAACATTGAAAGGGGCATCTCCAGTAGCAGTTGCCCCTGTGGGCGCAAGGTGACTCAGAATCCAGCCTGCAAAGAGGCATCAGTCTACCAGTCGGGGGTGATGATTGCTTCCTGTGTGTGATGCTAATTGTGTAATTTGTGGTGTAATGTTTCGAATTTTCCAAATCTTCACTGCGACACTTGCATACAATGAATGGCCAACTCATGCGGATGTCGTCAGGAAATGTTTAATGTTCAGTGTGAAGCAGGCGGCATGTGGTATTACTACGACTGTTACACTGGCAGTATTAACCAGGGTGACCACTGGGCTCCTGCAATTAGTGGTGAACGCATGACCGCTGGGCCACGTCACCTCCCCGAGATGCAAAACATTGCCCACAGATCACGCAAGTCAAATATACTCAATTGGTATTACATGCTGCAGAAATGATCGCCCCCCTACCGCCAGACCAATGCCCACTTGCAGGCAAGTGTTCAGTCACCTTGTACCACACAGGGACAGTTGGCACTGGGGGTTGCCTTATTATTTGGGATGAGTCTTGCGAGACCTATAAGCAATGGCATATAGACTATTAAAGACTACATGCTACATTAAAGCAAAGTTTAATTGGAACCAGATGTAATTTAGCATTTACACCGAGTCAGCATTTCTGCCATTGTCAAGCCTGGTGGTGCTAAACGGTCACGCTGCTTGCGCTCCGAGTGCACACTTGGGCAGTGGTTCCCACCCTGCAGTCTGCGCAAGTGTCACAGATGCTCCAATTTACTGCCACAGAACACGGGAACATAAACTGGGCATTGCACAGCTATTCAGATTCTATCCATGACCAATCAACATAGCCACTGGCTCTTGACTGAATATGCCGATTGCTGATGATTACTGAGGGTAGTTTTCAGTTGTCATTTTTTTGGAGGGGTTAGGTCACAATGATCTAATCAAAATTGTGTAGTTAAGGACCATCCACCTAACAGCCAAACAAATTAAATTATAGTGTGTGCAAGCATTTAATGTGCAAACTGTGATCATTTCAGCTCCCTCACCCGTGAGTTGAAGATCAACTCTCATAACCAAATTCAGCAATTAGATATGAGGTTTTAATAAAAAACTAAAGCTATTGGTGCAGCGGTCCACGATCACTGTCAGAGAGCCAACTGCGGTCGGTGGATCCAGGAATGTTCGACAACCCGCCGCGCGAGAGGCAACCGCGTGTGAATGGAAAGCGTGGCCTCATACGGAGCGGATGAGCCCGGGTTAGTGCAGCAATCAATGTGGGTACGGTACCTATCCTTGATCTGCTTGGCAGCCTTGTGCGGCGCAGGAAGAGAGAGAGAGGAGAGGATGTTAGCCACATGCAAACCGGCCCAGGGCACGCAGGCAGGGCCCCGCAGGGCCCTGTGGGGCCCTGCGGGGCAAGCAGCACGGTTAGTGGATGCCAGCGCACTGGCCACCATTACCACACGCGACGGTGCTCCCCATCGCACAGCTGTGGCCGACAAGAACCATTTTCGTAAGCACCAAATCCACAGGTGACAACAGGAGCCAAACTCACCACGAGGCCGAGCAAAAGAGTTAGGAAGTTACGGCAGAAATCGGTCACATGCCACACATGGGGGGTGGGCACACAGCACTTGTCATGATAGTGTCATGATACACAGTGTCATGATACCCACAGCGAGATGATACACAGTGTCACGGAATGCGCAGTGTCACCGTGCGCGCAGTGTCATGGTACACACAGCATGCATTGCGTTACCTCACATTCACGTTGGACTGGCGTAGTAACTCTGCACGTTGGCATTGCACGCACAACATTAATCCCTGCTGATACCAGCAGCCTGCCACTGTAGCAGACCCACGGCTGCACCCGCGCTCGCGCCACCTGCAGCCGTACCTGACAGAACTTGTCATCGTCAGCAACGTTCAGGGTCTCACTAGCAAAGTCCATGAGCTCTGCAGACCCCTCCAGGGCCTTGACACATGCTGCTAGTTGACCCTGCACAAGTGCGCGCACAAACACACACACACACGCACGTGTACACGCTCCTGAACAAACGTCCCCTCTCACACTGGAACTTGCTGCGTGCATCTCTTGCGTGCCCGTGTGCCACTTGCTCTGCCCTCCTCCTCGTCCCAGTTACCACACAATCAACAAGCAGACGAGGCGCCTGCTTCTGTCCCTTGTCGGTCTCCCTGCACAAAAGATACTCTTCAATTTTCTACACATCCCCTCAACCACACGGCCTCCTTCTGATAATGCATAATCCCAGCAGCATTGGTTCAACACAAGCAAACTCTGGACTGGTTTTGTTATTCAGTGTCTTATCAGCAGTCAGGCTTGCTCAAACCAAAGCTGGTAAACTGCCAGTTATTTATAGGCAAATATCTTCTCTGTTAAATATGGATCATATTCTTTGGGTCTTTCGGTAAAGCCACATAGATAGAAAAAAATTATAAAAATAACAACAATATCACGACGTTTCGATCGCAACACAAGCAATCGTCATCAGGTGAAAAAAATATAGCGGGAGAGCTGCTAAGGCAGGATGTTTATAAAGGTTTAAGATGGGTGTAGCCCTAGGGTACATGGGCGGGGCTAGAGATGAGATTTGCATGTAAATGTGAAATCGGAGAGAGCTCGGCAAGAACCACCGCCACATCGAGGAAAACGAGAACGGTAGCTGTGTTAGCGAATGTACCTCAAAGATAAGGATCCTAGTTCAACGCAAAACTTTTAAATGGAATACTTAAATTCTCCAGAATGATGCCAATTATATTATTATTCTGCAACACACTCTCATCTCACCTCGTCTCACCTTCTCCTCCCCTGTGCCACACACGCTCGTTGACACGTGCACTCACCTGCAGCTCGTGCGTCTTGTACAGCTGCTCCTGCTTGATCTTGGCCGCCATGTTGGCCTTGACCTCGGCGAGCAGCGTGAACAGTGACTCAAACTCCTCCTCCAGCTCCGTGAGAACGCGGCCAGAGTTCTCCTGTGGCGGGTGAGCACGGGGGGGACACGCGGCACGGGGGGGTGAGGGACACACGGCTCCGTGAGAATGGGGCCAGAGTTCTCCTGTGGGGGGTGAGCACGGGGGGGACACGCGGCACGGGGGGGTGAGGGACACACGGCTCCGTGAGAATGGGGCCAGAGTTCTCCTGTGGGGGGTGAGCACGGGGGGGACACACGGCACGGGGGGGACACGCGGCACGGGGGGGACACGCGGCACGGGGGGGGGGGGCATGCTGCACGGGGGGTGGCCACCATGTTACAGAATCTATTGACAACGATGCACAAACGTACATGATTAATAGACGAAAAACATGTCCTGTAATAAGTTGTCTCGGACAAATTACTGGAAGTGCAGTGAAAGGGAGGAGAGTGGCGACTCGGTTAGGCCTCCCCATACACGCGGCCATGTGTGCATGGACAGTATATGGTTTACTTATTTTTCAAACACAGACTGAGAATGGGCCCAAAACGTCCAGTGATCAGCAACAAACAGCAGTCAAAGTTGTAATAAATAAGGGTCGGAACGTTTCTTGAATTGAGCAAGGTTATTAGTGACTTGAATACCTTTCCTATACTTTGCACTTTCGGCTTTTGTAATGTTTGTTATTGTAACCCGAGTGACCCGCCCCTACTGGACCATCTGTGACAAAGAGCTTTGTAGCTCATCAGATTTCTCCAGGATAAATAAAGATTATGATTCTCATAACAGCTTGGGAATCGGGATAACAGGAGGGACTTGTGTCTCTGTGTCATCGTCGACAAGTTTGTTCGTGTCTCAGCCTCTCCACACGTACACACTGTACACTGACCTCCAGACCACGCAGAGCTAACTTGATAGACTCCATGAAGTTCTGGATCTCCTCGTTCTTGGTAGCCAGAGTTGTAATAATCCTATGCAACGCATCCTGCAGACCCAGGGGCAGCACAGCACGAGTTTGAACGGGTGAGGGAGGGACGGGGCGGAGGTTCGAGGGAGGAAACCTGGGCCCCTTGACTGCATCGCTTCCTCAGGTGTCGTTAAAGCGACTTGTACGGTAGAGCCAAACTCACTACTTACACACAGCATGCATTGCATTACACCAGTCACCAGTGCTGCCCAACGCGTTGCCTGAAGAAGAGTTGCACCAGAAATGTGTGCAAAGCGTGGAGAGACGTCTGCTTGTAATTGAATTAAAAGACAGAGGAGCACGTAGATTATTGAATGTATGCGGGTTAATGACATCATCCAAGCTATGTGTATTAAGACAGGGTAAGTTGGTTTGGCCAGGACACGTTGATAAAAGGGACAGAGGCTGATGGTCAAGAATAATAATGTGTATTCTTAGGTTTTTTTCGGTTAAGTCACGTAAGTAAAACATCAAAATAAAAATAAAATAAAAATCACGACGTTTCGGAGGCAACACAAGTCTCCGTCATCAGGTGGGACAGTCACAGCCGAATTAGCTGCATCAAGTGAAGCAATGATTCAAGATGTAATCCCTTATAAGCAAGTTGAAGGGAGGTGGAGAGGGGGGGGTTGGAGAGCTTATCAGACTGTGGTAGCCAATGAATGGAAACGTATCGGGAGGGAGGAGGAGCGGTGATCAAAGACTGCAACGCAGTGCTCAACACAATGAATGGAAACGTATCGGGAGGGAGGAGGAGCGGCGATCAAAGACTGCACGCAGTGCTCAACACAATGAATGGAAACGTGTCGGGACGGAGGGTGAGCGGCGATCAAAGACTGCACGCAGCGCTCAACACAATGAATGGAGACGTGTCGGGACGGAGGGTGAACGGTGATCAAAGACATCACGCAGTGCTCAACACAATGAATGGAAACGTGTCGGGACGGAGGGTGAGCGGTGATCAAAGACTGCACGTGGGGATGTTAACACTCGGTGAAGTAAATTAAAATAGTGCTTGTCAGATAAGATGGTGCAAAAAAGTGTAATTAAGTCTTTTTTTTTTGCGTGGTTAATAACATCTTTCCAATGATTACTGAGTTTGTACCCATCATCACGGTTGAAATTATGTCTGTGTTTGTATATTTGTATGGCTTCGTGTACAAACCTTTGATGGTAGCCAGGAGGTTTGCAGAGAACCTTGGTCTCGGAAAAGACAATTTCATGAGAGCCCGCCGAGTTGTAGCAATGATCGGCAACGGCCGAAGAATCAGTTCTGCCGTGTTTCAGATCTGACTTGTGCTCGCGGACACGATCAGTCACATGACGTTTTGTTTCTCCAATGTAGCAATCACCACAAATGCAACTCAATTTGTAGACTCCAGGATACTGTAAGTCAGGAACGACATCCTTCACAGATGGAATCAGATCACGGATTTTATGCACTGTACTGAATCGGACTTGGATCTTATGTTTGTTTAGAATTTTTGAGATCTTTTTGGTCACGCCTGCTATGTATGGTAACGTGATAGTTTTGGTCGGAGTTTCATGTGGCTGTTTCTTCTGTGTGGTGGTGGCAGCCACATGAAACTCCGACCAAAACTATCACGTTACCATACATAGCAGGCGTGACCAAAAAGATCTCCAAAATTCTAAACAAACATAAGATCCAAGTCCGATTCAGTACAGTGCATAAAATCTGTGATCTGATTCCATCTGTGAAGGATGTCGTTCCTGACTTACAGTATCCTGGAGTCTACAAATTGAGTTGCATTTGTGGTGATTGCTACATTGGAGAAACAAAACGTCATGTGGCTGATCGTGTCCGCGAGCACAAGTCAGATCTGAAACACGGCAGAACTGATTCTTCGGCCGTTGCCGATCATTGCTACAACTCGGCGGGCTCTCATGAAATTGTCTTTTCCGAGACCAAGGTTCTCTGCAAACCTCCTGGCTACCATCAAAGGTTTGTACACGAAGCCATACAAATATACAAACACAGACATAATTTCAACCGTGATGATGGGTACAAACTCAGTAATCATTGGAAAGATGTTATTAACCACGAAAAAAAAAAAAGACTTAATTACACTTTTTTGCACCATCTTATCTGACAGGCACTATTTTTATTTACTTCACCGAGTGTTAACATCCCCACGTGCAGTCTTTGATCACCGCTCACCCTCCGTCCCGACACGTTTCCATTCATTGTGTTGAGCACTACGTGATGTCTTTGATCACCGCTCACCCTCCGTCCCGACACGTCTCCATTCATTGTGTTGAGTGCTGCGTGCAGTCTTTGATCGCCGCTCACCCTCCGTCCCGACACGTTTCCATTCATTGTGTTGAGCACTGCGTGCAGTCTTTGATCGCCGCTCCTCCTCCCTCCCGATACGTTTCCATTCATTGGCTACCACAGTCTGATAAGCTCTCCATCCCCCTCTCCACCTCCCTTCAACTTGCTTATAAGGGATTACATCTTGAATCATTGCTTCACTTGATGCAGCTAATTCGGCTGTGACGGTCCCACCTGATGACGGAGACTTGTGTTGCCTCCGAAACGTCGTGATTTTTATTTTTATTTTATTTTTATTTTGATGTTTTACTTACGTGACTTAACCGAAAAAACCTAAGAATATGAATCTTTGCAGTCACGAAAGCTTCAAATCTAGAAATAATAATGTGGTAGCTGCCAAGGAATAAACCGCGTCTGGGAGGACGTGCACTGCCGAATATATGGAGCAATAAAAACGTAAATGTGCAGTTGCTGTACGTATGTTGAACTTCTTTCGCACCGTAGGTAGCCAACTGTGTGAATCGGAGGTGCTGGATCGATTGTTGCATCGCAGGATCGTAGGAGGCTGCGGGGGTTGGGGAGGGCTTCATTCGGCAGTGGATTGACCATGACTGATGAGGAATTTGAAAAACATCTGCAGTTTTAAAGTACAAATATTGTATCTGGCGTCTCATAACCTGTGTCAATAATTTCCCTGCTGCTCTCACGTTTACTCTTATTTTCTCGGAGCAATCTGCGCAGAACATGACGCGTTATGAATCTCGGATTGTTAAATCATCCGTCGGGGTGCGAGGAGGAAGTGATTTCTGTGCATTAAAAAAACGCCGTGCACAAGCCCCTCGAGTTGGAGCATCTCGAGTACAAGGTGTGCCCCAAGGGTGTCCGGTGAAGCAGCAGCCACAGCAAACACGACACGCGCAGAACAAGTCAGGATGTGAGCATGGCAGCAGCTGCGGGGTGGGTGGCGTGCACAATGGAAGATAGGGAAGCAACTGGGACGTAAAGAAGAGAACAGGTCAGGTGAGGATTGTAGATGTGGAGAGAAGTATTGGGGGGGGGGGGGGGGGGGGGAGCGGGTGATTGCCTAGACCAGCAATGGAATGGTCTTCACGAGTCCAGTGACTAAGGCCAGATTGTGCCATATTATTAGGGCGGCGGTTCTATAGCTCTCTGTGCAAGTCTGAAGGTATTTGTGCGAGTCTATGGTTCTCTGTGTGTGAGTCTATGAGCAGATGGTGGGAGGCTGCCAGGGCAGATCTCGGAGGTCGCCGTGCAGCAGGGTGGACGGCGTTTGCGATGCGTTGGTCGCAGCTAGCTGCTTTGGTCGCGATGAGTTCATGATCCACTTAAACATTGAGACACCGTGCGAGTGCGGATTGCGGAAGAGGAGGCCATGCAGCCCTGCGGCTCGACACGAGCGCCGTGGGGGGTCGCACCGAGCCCGGCCCCGGTTCGTGTCAATAGACGACGACACAGCACGGGACGGACGCGTGGGACCCGAGACAGCATCGCCGAGTCTCACGACTCTTTGTTCAGGAGGGTCCTGCCAAGTTTGTCGCAGTACAGTACTGTCTCGTAGGGGGCGATGTCGCTGCAGCTGCTGTTGTTGTTGCTGCTGCTGCTGCACCAGTTGAACCCATTTGCAAAGTGGGGATGGGGACTGGGCCAATGCCGCTGACACTGCGCATCTTAACACCATAATTGTGGCCTCGTGTGTGGGGATTGGAACAAGACAATGAGCGAGGAGACAGCGGCCTCCTTCCGACTGCACGAATCTCTAAACGAGAGCGAGACCCGAGCCAGTGGCTGCTTGAATGACAATAACTCACGATCACAGCGGGCGGGGAGGGAGAGCGCAGCCGATATGAAAGACAGGCGAGGTGCGAAGTGTGAGTCGGATATGAGAGAAACGTGAGAGTGAAGATATGAGAGAGATAGAGGGCGAGATGAGCGGCGGATGAGACGGGATGTGAGCGGGCAATGCGGGGGGTGATTGGAGACGTGAGAGGGAGACAGAGGAGGTGGAGGTTGATGGAGACGAGGTGGGTGGAGATGAGAGACAGAGAGGGGACGAGGTGTGAGGAGCCGCACCTTCTGGGCCTCCATGTTCGCCTCCTCCTGCAGCGTCTGGGATGTGCGTGACGTAATCTCGCACTGTCACGGTGACGTCAGCGCGGCATCGAGTGACATTGCGTCATCGCTTTGAGATAAAAACTATAAGCATGTTTTCCTTTTACCGGGTAAGGTCCACTATTTTTCAGTCGAGTGATAGCTCAACGAAGTTGCTTATCATGTGGAAATGTATAGCGGCCAAATACTCTAAACGCGTGATGTTAATTTTAAATGTGGAGGGGAAAAACCGGAGGACCCGAAGAAAAAACTCCATGCGACCACGTGGAGAGAGAGGCACGCCGGCTCCAAATAGACAGCAGCAGGCGTCAGGGTCGGAATCGAACCCACGACCCCATGCATATCAGGCGAGGTGGTTAACATCGACAAGCCACTGAGATACACTCGCAACGTGGCGGGGAGGTGCCACTTCTCGATCTGCAAACTAGCGCACGCCTTCTGCTGTCACGCGCTTCAAGTGAATCATTTTATAACATTGACCAGATGCCACCACGGTCACCAGCGCACTTGTGACCTTGCAATCTAGAGGTCGCCCCCGCTCGATTCCGCCTCTCCAGCGCGGCGGTTGAAATGGGACGAGTTTCTCAAATTTCCACCACCTCTTATCCACTCGATTTCCAAAACACACTGCACACCAGTGGCGGCTCCTGCAAAATCTATCAGGGGGTGCAAATGTCTGGATGATTGATAAGGATAAGGTCCACCCATGTAATGGAGAAATTAACAGCTTAAGCATGTAAAGGCAACTTCACTTATTTAATATTAATGAAAAGTAAAGTGACTCTTACAATACATCCTGTTTGTTTCTATACTCACTATTATTACAATCCACTCAGTTTCTTTTATTTAAGATTCCACTAGGTGGCGACAAATACTATTGTTGACTGAAACGTGCTTACGTATGATGACGTAAGCACGTTAGTGCGAGCCCTCCCGGAAGCCATAGAGAATGCATTGCAGCGCCCGCCGTTCGAAAAAAAACATCTTTGAATGTAAGTCTATAGGAACACTCTGGGCGATTCTCAGCCAGAGTGAAATCGCCCAAAAAGAGGCGGTACTCCACAGAACGTGACATGACGCTGATTGGACTATATCCAGAGGCACAGTGACGGCTAGCGTGACTCTGTGGTTGAATGACATTGGTGGTGCGTCGCCCAATCGCCCTAATGAAGAAACCGCCCATGCTGCACACACTATGGGAACCTCACTTGCCAGTAAAAATATGATAATTGGTTGTTTACCCTTCTATCTGGCAACAAAACTGACACCTTTTTACAAGGAGTCATGTTTGCATAGACCGCAATACCTGCAGTCATAATACAAACAACAGACATAACTCTGATAATGTGCACTGTCCTTGAAGTTGATTGGTCCACACCCGAGACAGCTTTCCTTAGAGCCTAGTCTCACATGGGTTGGACCAGATGAGCAGATGACGCCTTTTGGTCCAACCTATGTGAGACTAGGCTCTAAGGAAAGCTGTCTCGGGTGTGGACCAATCAACTTCAAGGACAGTGCACATTATCAGAGTTATGTCTTTTGTTTGTATTATGACTGCAGGTATTGCGGTCTATGCAAACATGACTCCTTGTAAAAAGGTGTCAGTTTTGTTGCCAGATAGAAGGGTAAACAACCAATTATCACACTGCACACAGTAAAGCGGAGATGAAGACGGGCACGACAGCCAGTGCGACGCGTATCAGGCCCCGGGGTCATGGCGACACGTGGACTGCTTTGCCAGCGCCAAAACGAAACTATACAAATAAACTTTGTATTTTACCAGGTAAAGTCCACCAGAGGCGTAGCTAGGGGGGGGCAGGGGGTACATATGTCCCCGGGCGCCAAGGTAAAGGGGCGCCAAAATGAGGCTTACAACGTTACATTATAACTTACTAGCAGAAGTACCCGGCGTTGCCCGGGTGAAAAATATATTTCTTAATAACGTTACATATATATACAGATACTAAGGTATTGTCAAAGCCCACCGGGCTTTGACAATACCACTCACGCTCACCACTCACCCTCTCTGTCTCCACTCACCCTCACCCTAACCACTCACCCTCACTACTCACTAATCACCCTCACCACTCACCACTCATCCTCACAACTCACTACTCACCTTCACCACTCACCTTCACCACTGACCCTCACCACTCACCCTCACCACTCATCCCCACCACTCACCCCTAACCACTCACCCTCACTACTCACCATCACCACTTACCCTCACCACTCACTGTTCACCACTCACCCTCACCACTCACCCTCACCACTCACCCTCACCACTCACCATCACCACAAACCCTCACCACTCACCCTCACCACTAACCCTCGCCACTCACCCTTACCACTCACCCTCACCACTAACCCTCACCCTCACCACTCACCCTTACTACTCACCACTCAACCTCACCACTCTTCATCACCACTCACCCTCACCACTCACCCCTCACCATCACCACTCACCACTCACCCTCACTACTCACCATCACCACTCACCCTCACCACTCACCATCACCACTCACCCTCACCACTCACCCTCATCATTCACCACTCACGCTCACCACTCACCCTCACCACTCACCCTCACCACCACCAATCATCCCTCACCACTAACCCTCACCACTCACCCTCACCACTAACCTGCTATGATTACAGCAGTGCATACTGACTGTGGTGGTAGATACTATGATTATATCAGTGCATACTGACTGTGGTGGTACATACTATTGTAACGGGTTCCGGAGACACTTGTAGATGTAACTTCTTTATTACAATACAACACTCCAACAGTCCTGATACTCTGTTACAGCCTAGGTACACAGCCTAGCTACACAGCCTAGATACTCTACTCTGGCTACGCTCTGGACTCGCCCTCACAAGGTCGTAGCGTCGGGAGTTCCAGAGTCCCAGCGCTGGCTCTCGCAGCATCCCAGGGTCTTCAGATGGCTGGTCGTGGGTCTTGGGTCTTGAGTTACAACTCGCCCCGATCGTCCAGGGAGCTCCGCTTATATGCCCAGTCCCCAACGAGGGGTGGGGCCGTGTGCGCCACCAGACATCCCACAGAGCACACACAGCCCCCCCCCGTTGGCGGCGCCGAGAGGCTTAAGCGTCTGGACCCCCTGGGAACCCAGCGCCTGGCGCCCAGGGGATTACGCGTCTGGACCCACCTGGGAACCCAGAGCCTACAGCAGCCCCTCCCTTCTTATGTCACTACATTACCCCCCTCTATGTAGCCTCCAGCCGTCCCGGCTGTCAATAATTAGAAAGTTTAAATTAACGAAAGGGAGAGAGAGAAGAAAAAAAATACGCGAGCTTCAACAGGAAAAGAAAAGAGAACAAGAAAGCAACCATAAATACCATAACCAACCTGTACAACTCTACACTATATACAAGCATCAATCAACAAAAAGGTGAAGCAATGACACGTGAACAAACGACCCGCGGCCCACCTAGCCCTCCTCGGGATCCGCATAGAAAACGGGGAATTAACAACAACAAATATACAGATTCCGACGCGTTGGATGCCCAACCAACACCGGTAATCGAACCGAAATCACACAATCACCGCATGGATGGCAGGGATCCACACCACCCTGCCAGCCTCCCATCCGTCAGGTGGAGAGAAGGCGAAGACCAACATGTCGAGCATCCCTCTACACGCACTTATCCGGACGTCTGTCTACGTCCCGGGTCGAGAAGTCGTACTTCAGGGCCGACCCATGTACTGGGCAAAGAAGTCGTACTTCAGGGCTGCTCCAGTATCTACATTTTAAAAATATATATATATAAAATTTACATGACACAAACAAAATAAATCTGCCTGCTCCTGTCCATAAATGGTGGCCGCACGCATGAACCGCATCTCCAAAAGGCATCCCGTGCTTGCGTCCCAGCAGCCCTCAATGAGGACCACCACCGACATTACATGTCAACCGTTTGCACCCCCCGCCTTTCCAACGTGGCGTCTCCATCCTAAAACCGCGCACGTCGGCCATATCGGGGGGGACTTCAACCCAGTCTCTCTCCAAGACTCGCATCGCAGCATATAGCTGTACCGACCGATCTGAGACCCAACCTCTCTCCAAGACTCGCATCGCAGCATATAGCTGTACCGACCGATCTGAGACCCAACCTCTCTCCAAGACTCGCATCGCAGCATATAGCTGTACCGACCGATCTGAGACCCAACCTCTCTCCAAGACTCGCATCGCAGCATATAGCTGTACCGACCGATCTGAGACCCAATCTCTCTCCAAGACTCGCATCGCAGCATATAGCTGTACCGACCGATCTGAGACGACCCATTGTTCACTCCCTGCACAACATGCACCCTAACAACTGAGGGATACAGTCCCAACGTAACGGGACAACTACACCTGAACACCACGAATCTCCAGCCCACTGTTTCAACGCGCCTCGGAGTGTTTCAATCTCCGGGCCGTCAGGGTGAGCCTACTGCTCCAGACGTACCACGGAGGGTCTCAACCTCCGGGCCGTCAGGTCAAGCCGTCAGCTATTCCATGACGGGACCACACTCTCCGAGCCATGTGAGCGCACATCCCACTAGGCTAGACATGCCACGGAGTGTTTCAATCTCCGGGCTGTCAGGTCAAGCCGTCAGCCATAGCATGACGGGACCACACTCTCCGAGCCATGTGAGCACACAGCCCACTAGGCTAGACATGCCACGGAGTGTCTATCTCCGGGCTGTCAGGTCAAGCCGTCAGCCATAGCATGACGGGACCACACTCTCCGAGCCATGTGAGCACACAGCCCACTAGGCTAGACATGCCACGGAGTGTCTCTATCTCCGGGCTGTCAGGTCAAGCCGTCAGCCATAGCATGACGGGACCACAACTCTCGTGTTAGACACGCAACACCCGCTGGGCCATCCTGGTCAGGATCTGCACCCCAAGATATTTGAGAGCCAGCATGACAATTCCAAATCCTTGGCAGCATGTCACCATCTCAAGATAAATGCCCCATACAGTATATACATCGTTAACAATGACAGCACAAGCTATAC